GCATTTTTTGAAAGCTTTTCTTGATGTGGTTCTGTAATACTGGATTTTACAAATTGATTTTCCCTTAATTTCTTATACTTTTCAGCTACTTTTATTCATTTCTTCATTCTAATATTTCATAAATGACTATTACATACTAAAAATTGCTCTAGGTACTTGTTTTTATAATTTTTGAACAAAACCCAAACAAAACAAATATATATATTTATATTTACTGTGAGTTTGAGACAACCACAAAGTCAGAGAACACAGTCCACACAAGACTGCCCTCACTCCTGACACAAATCGCAAATTCAAGGAGTTCCAAAAACCAATGCTAGTTTCAATAATTCACTAGAAGGACTCACAGAATTCACAGAAAACTGTGTAGTCATGGTTATGGTTTATTACAGTGAAAGGATACAGATTAAAATCACCCTAAAGAAGAGGTCATAGAGCCAAGTCCAGGAAAAGTTGTAAATGTGGGACTTCTGTTGTCTTCTCCCCATGGAATCATGGACAGCATTACTTTCTTTGACATCAATGTGTAACAACTTGCACAGAATACTGCCAAGCAGAAAATCTCAACTGAACCTTGGTGTCCAGAATCCTTACTGGGGCTCCATCACTGTAGGAGCAAGGGTAAGCATGGCTGACTACTCACATAACCAATGTCTCTTTCTAGGCCCCACAGTCCCCTTTCAAAAACACATTGTTACTATCTGCTGGTACAAGGCCCCCAGACAAAGATACTCTTTTCAGGCATGCCATTCCAAGGACTTAGAAATTACTCCCCTGAAGCTGAGGACAAAGGCCGAACCTCTCTTTGGAAAGGTTAAGTTCTTTTCTATACATTTACATATATACATATGGTAGTGATAAGTAGGTGGTAAATATATATGTATGATAGTTTTAAGTGTATTGATAGAAAATAGGAACCAAAGGTAATAATGGCTAAAGAGTAAAATTAAAATAAAGGAAAAAAGATGGGAAGAGTGCTTTTTTCAATTATTTAGTCAGAAAAGCCTTCACTGATAAAGTAACATTTCATCAGAGTCTCAAATAAAGTGAGTTAACATGCTATGTGATTATCTAGGGAAATCACAGTCTCGGCAAAGGGAACAGCAAGTATCCTGAAGTAGGAGTGTGCCTTTTGTACTCTGTGAAACCATCAAGTAGATCTATGTGAATGCAGCTAAGTGAAAAAGGGAGAAAGTGGTTGGAGATAAAGGCAAACAGATAATGGTAGGAGGAGACAGATTATTAGTGCCTTGCAGACTAGTTACAAACTTTGAGTCTTGTTCTAAATGAAGTTAACAGCCATTGGAGGGTTCTGAGCAAAAAAGTGACATGACCTCATTTCAAAAATGATTGTCTATTGCAAGGGTCTATAAAACTATAAGGATACAAAGACCACCACAGAAAGAACAGTTAGGCTATTTTAATAGCCTAGGCTAGAGATGATGTTGGCTTAGGGTGGTAGTAGTAGATGGCATCAGAATTGTATTCTGATTCAAAAAATGGAGAGGGTTTCCTTGGTAACATGAAAAAAATTACACATTTCTTAAAAGCCTATCTATGAAGCCTGTAGTTTGAGGGAAAAACAATTATCACATGTATTTCCTGTCAGTACTCTGCAGTATCTCAATGTTTCTCAACTCCTCTATGTATCACAGAGACTAGAAGACAGAAAACTTTATTTCCAAGCCCCTTTTTTCAGCAAAGTTTGAGTTCAGCATCTAACAATGACAGACACTTTTACAAGATTTGGAAAGCAGAGTTGAAGAGAAGGAGCAGCAATTAAATGAATGTTCCTTTATGAGTTAGGCCTTTCTTCTTTAAGATATGGTTCAGGGGCCTAGGTTCATGGAGTTGTACATTTTTAATGTATGGTTCTTATAATCATTATGCTCATCTGCATCAGCTGACAGATGGGAAAAGGACATGAAGGATTCTGCACTGGAGTGCTTAGTGTGACTGGCCTGAAAGAACTGCACCTCAGTCACTACAGCTTATGCTATTGGAGAGAACTAACTACAGAGCCACAGTTGATTCCAAAGGAGACTAGGAAATATATCTAGCTGTGTACAGGAAGAAGAACCCAAAATATGGTGAAGAGCTAGCTAGCCTGTCTTTGTTACATGCCCTAATACCAACTAGACAATCACAAATTATGCCATAATAGAATGGTATAAAAAGCACTCCCTGTCCATTTTTGTAAGCCGCAGAGGCAGAAGCACTGAACACAGTTAATCGAACAATGATACATTTTCCCAACTTTGAACTGTATGGTCTTAACCCTGAATCTGTGACGTCAACACTCTAGTTCAGACTATACTGCTCTAAATGTAAGTTAGTTTATAAAGTCTCTTTTATGGCTTAATATACAAAAAAGATCATATCTACTAGTCTTTGCTACAGTCTTGAAGTCTTAATTTCAAATACGTAGGAGAATACACATACACAAACATTCATACACACACATAGAAACATATGTTCCTCTCAAGAATAGGCAGTCACTTTCCAGAATTGAGCAGTCAAAGATCCAAATATAAAACAACTTTGAACACAATATTTTGCAATATGATATAGAGCAGTTTAGATACCCGGAGTCACGTTGTTTTTGAAACACTTTGTTAGAGAAGAGGACCTCTGTCCATGCATGGTCTCACTGGGTAATTTTTCAAAAATAAAGGAAAAAAATATGCCTCAGAGGTAAATTGTATTCTCCACCACTTAGTAGAAATACAACTCCCAAAAACTTTCTTTTTCTTTTTTTTTTTTTTGAGACAGTCTTTTTCTGTCGCCCAGGCTAGAATGCAATGGCATGATCTCAGCTCACTGCAACTTCCACCTCCCAGGTTCAAATAATTCTCCTGCTTCAGCCTTATGAGTAGCTGAGATTACAGGCACCTGCCACCATGCCCAGCTAATTTTTGGTAGAGACGGAGTTTCACCACATTGGCCAGGCTGGTCTTGAACTTTTGACCTCAGGTGATTCACCTGCCTCGGCCTCCCAAAGTGTTGGGATTGCAGGCATGAGCCACCATGCCCAGTTAAGAGTGGTAAAGTTACATATCTACTTATAACTGAAGGGTTAAGGCCCTGTGTTTTCATTATCTTTTTAAAATTAAAAACAATTCTATTCACTAAAAATAATTTCTTAGCACTCTTTCACAATATTTTTTTCCAAGATCCAAGATTGCATGCTTAAATTGGGTGAGGAAAATCCACCAATGTAATGAGATTGTGTAGCTTTAACAGGAAAATATGTTATGGACATCACTCAAGAAGGTATTTAATATGGATCTTGGAATCCTATGACCTCACAAAGTCACATTTTGTTTTCCTTTTTGTGGGAAACAGATGGAATTAGTAGGCAGACATGGCATTTGTTCATACATATATCTGGTTCACCTAGGATAGTGCTATTTTAGAATTGTTTTTCTTCCATACTACATGTTCTTCTTCTTTTTTTTATTTTGTATTTTTTCTGAGACAGGGTCTTACTCTGTTGTTCAGGCTGGAGTGAAATGGCATGAAAGCACTCACTGCAGCCTCGATCTCCTGGTCTCAAGTGATCCTCCCACCTCAGCCTCCCAAGCAGCTGGGACCACAAGCTTCACACCACTATGCCTGGCTAATTTTTTTTATTTTTTTGTAGAGACAGGGTCTCCCTGTGTTGCCCAGGTTGGTCTCTAACTCCTGCATCCTGCTTTTCTAATGGGACTCTGGCTCCCACAGCATGCTAAGGCCCTAACTGTCCTTAAACCTAGGTAGACATCTGTAACTGTCCCAACTAGTAAAACACAGTGGAAGTGATGTTACATGCCATTTCAGGCTAATTCATAAAGATGTCAAATGTCATGTACTTCCACCTTGCTTGGTGACACTTTCTCTTGAATCTAGCTGCAATGCTGTGAGGAGGCTCAAACCAGGCCACACAGAGAAACCAAATAGAGAGGCTATATGTAGGTGTTCCAGTACATAGCCAAACTTTACATTCTACAGAAGGGTAGGGGCACCTTTATCAGCACGTCCCACATCCCTACCTCCCAGTGGAAGTAGGGGTTAAAGGTTTCATTTTCCAAGAACACTGAAGAAAATCTCTATCACCCCCATGCCTTCATGAATATTATACCTATGAAGAAATCATGTAAGAGTTGTTTCACAGGATTCAGATAAAAAATGATGAAGAATAAAAGATTCCCTAATACTAAGAAAATTGTGATAGCTTCCAGGGGTGGTGTGGTTCTGTGCGGCTCACTTTTGCTGCATTCCAGAGGGGACAGTAGGGTGAGGGGGAGAGCAGAATCACAACACCAAATGCTGTGGTTTTGAAAGAACTAGCTACGTATTCTCTGGCCCAGTCCATCATTAATGAAGAGGACATTTGAGAGACACATTTTTGTTGGCTGCCCAAAGAACAGCACACAACAGAGAACCAGTAAGAAGAAGAACGGCAATTATAATGAACCATCCCATTTGTTTTCTGGCATTAGGTAATATAAAAATTTTTGTGGTTCCGATCAAGGCAGGGTTTAAGAAAAAAGAGTAACAATTGACATTTTCCTTCCAATCAATCTCTCTCAGGTCTTTCATTGAAAATCTTCCTTTTGTGCAGATTTTTACTATAGTGACATTTGTTCAAAGTGTTTGCCTAAAGAACAATCTCAAGCACACCTTAAGTACTACTTCATGCTGAAGAAGTATGGAAAACATAGTAATTTTACACTTATAACTACCTAGGATCAGCAAACTTGAGGTAAAGGGTAATAAAACAATTTATCAGAAAATAGAGATAATGCAAACTTTCTATGGGGCGGTCATGAGGATTGTGTGAAATGAGATAAGAAATTGCATTACTTTTCTAGAGCTGTCATAAAAAATTACTACAAAGTCTTAACACAAATTTACTATTTTATAGTTCTGTAGCATAATGTTTTGACAAGAGTCTTCAGTGGGCTAAAATCAAGGAGTTGATATGATTGTATTTCTTTTTATTTATTTATTTTTCTTCATATTGGATGAGCAATGTGCTGATACTGTAACAAGGTTTGAGGGTGGCGCATCTCACACATGCACATGAATACCCAATCATTATGCTCATGAACTACGAAAGGATCAGTATAGTTCTATTTCTTTCCAGAAGCCCTAGGGAATATCTATTTTCTTTTCCAGTTTCTAGCAGCTGCCTGAATTATTTTGCTTGTGACCCCTTCCTCCATCTTCAAAGCTAGCAACAGCTAGTCAAACCCTTATGTCACATCACTATGACCTTCTGTTCTGCCACCCTCTTTCACTTTTAAGGACCCTTATAATTACATAGGGCTCACTCAAATAATTCAGTGTTTCTCCCTATTTTAAAGTCAGCTGCATTCATCAAATTTCTCAGAGAAACAAAACTAATGGTACAGGATATACACAAAATGAGCTATATCATGAGAGATTGGGTCACATGATTACGGAGACTAAGAAGTCCTACAATACGTTTTCTATAAGTTGGAGACCTCGGAAAGCTGGTGGTATAGTTCTAGCCCAAGCCTAAAGGCCTGAGAACCAAGAGCGCTGATATCCAATAATAGGAAGGATGCCCTACCTCAAAAAGAGAGAGTAAATTCGCCTTCCACCTTTTTGTTCTACTTGAGCCCTCAATGGATTGGATGAAGCCCACTTACATTGATGAGGGTGATCTTCTTTACTCAGTCTATGAATTCAAATGCAAATCCTTTCCAGAAACACCCTCACAGACCCAGTTAAAAATAATGTTTTACCATCTCTGTGAGTATCCCTTAGCCCAATTAACTTGACAAATAAAATTAACGATCACATCAGCTGATTAGCAACCTTACTTTCCCCTGGCCATGTAATATATTCACAGTTTCCAGGGAGTTTCCATGGACATCTCAGCCAGGCACAGTGGCTCACACTTGTAATCTCAGCACTTTGGGAGGTTGAGGTGGGAGGATCACTTGATCCCAGGAGTTCATGACGAGCCTGGGCAACATAGCAATACCCCATCTCTACAAATAACAACAAAAAAAATAGCCAGGCGTGGTGATATACACCTGCAGTCCTAGCTATTTGGAAGGCTGAGGTGAAAGGATTGCTTGAGTCTGGGAGGTGGAAGCTGTAATAATGCCATGGTCATGCCACTGCATTCCATCCTGGGCAGCAGAGTGAGAGCCCACCTCAAAAAAAAAAAAAAAAAAAAAAAGACATAGACATCTTTGGGGCCATTATTCTGCCAACCACAAATGCTTGTCACCTAGTCCAATACCTAGCAAATGCAAATGCTAAGTGACAAATAAACACTAATTCTCTTCCTCACTTACTCTCTGTATTAGTCTGTTTGGGCTGTCATAACAAAATACCACAGCCTGGGCAGCTGAAACAACAAACATTTGTTTCTTAAAGTCTGGAAACAAGGAAGTCCAAGACCAAGGTGCCAGCTAATTCGGTTCCTAATGAGGGCTGTCAATGAAGAGTCAAACTCTAAAACATCTGAAGAGATTTATTCTGTGTCAGATACCAATGACCATGGCCCATGACACAGTCCCAGGAGATACTGAGAACATGTGTTCAAGGTGGTCAGGCTACAGCATTGTTCTATATATTTTAGGGAGACATAAGACATCAATCAATACATGTAAGAGGTACACTGGTTCCACCTGGAAATGTGGGACAACTCAAAGTGGGAGGAGGTTTCCCAGTCATAGGTGAATTCAAAGATTTTCTGATTGAGTTAAAGAGTTTATCTAAAGACCCGGGATCAACAGAAGGGACTGTCTGGGTTAAGATAAGGAGTCGTGGAGACCAAGGTTCTTATTACGTGGATAAGGTCTCCAGATATTGTAAATATTTCTTATCCAATTTAAAAAGGTTCCAGACTCTTAGTTCTCTCATGGATCAGGGAAATTTGGAAAGGGAACGAGATTCTCTACAGAATATAGATTTCCCCACAAGAGACAGCTTTGAAGGGCCATCAAAATATGTCAAAGAAATATATTTTGGAGGAAAATGCTTTCTTTCAGGGCCTACTGTTATTTGACATCATACTGCTATGAAGAGTCTGTTCTGTCAGTCTTCAGGTCTCTGCTTCAATGTTAATGCTGGTCAGCTATACCTGACTCCAAACGAAGGAAGGTATAATGAGGCATATCCAACCACCCATTCCCATGATGGCCTGAACTAGTATTTCAAGTTTACTTTAGAATGCTCTTGGCGGAGAGGACGGGTCCATTCCGTTCATTGGGAGGGCTTCTAATTTTATTTTGGGGCCAGGTGTGGTGGCTCACACCTGTAATCCCAGCACTTTGGGAAGCCGAGGCAAGAGGACTGCTTGAGCCCGAGAGTTCAAGGCCAGATCAGGCAACACAGATCAGGAAGACCCCGTCTCTATCAAAATTTTTTTAAAATTAGCTGGATGTGGCAGTACCCATCTATGTTCCCAGCTATAGGGGGCTGAGGCGAGAGGATTGCTTGAACCAGGGAGGTGAGGGCTGCAGTGAGCAATGATTGTGCCACTGCACTCCAGCCTGGGCAACAGAGCAAGACTCCATCTAAACAAAAAAAAGAGAGAGAATTTTATTTTTGGTTTACAGAGCTATTTCTGGAGTGTAGAAGCTGTTTTGTCCTCACATGGCCTTTCCTCTGAGAGGCAGGAACAAGCTCTCTGATGGCCTTTTTTTTTTTTTTTTTCCACCGTTGCCTGAACTGGAGTGCAGTGGCAGCTCACTGCAACCTCCGCCTCCTGGGTTCAAGCGATTCTCCTGTCTCAGCCTCCCCTCAAGAGCTGGGATTACAGACTCCTGCCACCACACCCAGCTAATTTTTTGTATTTTTAGTTGATGGTCTCGATCTCCTGACCTCGTGATGCACCCACTTTGGCCTCCCAAAGTGCTGGCATTATAGGCGTGAGCCACAACACCCAGCCAACGTCTCTTTTTAAAGGGCACTAAACCTATTGGATCAGGATCTCACCTTTATAATTTCATTTTGCTTTAATTACATTTTTAGAGTTCTCATCTCTAAATACAGCCACACTGGGAGTTAGGGCTTCATAATGAAGCAAGAACACAAAGATTTAGCTCGTAACACTCTCACCATTTTCTTACCACTTTGCCCCTATCATCTTCAATATGCCTACTCAATCTCATCTATTAAACAATTTTCATACTTTTTATATCAGGTGTACCCAACTGGAAAGCTTTTATAGAAATTATTCATTCCTGTTGCCTTAATCATATTTGCCAAAAACTCCCAAAATGTATAATTTCAGGCTACTCTCTTTTTTTTTTTTTGAAACAGTCTAGCTCTGTTGCCCAGGCAACAGAGGCTGGAATGTAGTGGCACGATCTTGGCTCACTGCAGTCTCCACTTCCTGGGTTCAAGTGATTCTCCTCCCTCAGCCTCCTGAGTAGCTGGGATTATAGGCGTGCATCATGCTTGGCTAATTTTTGTATTTTTAGTAGAGATAGGGTCTCACCATTTTGGCCAGCCTGGTCTCAAACCCCTGGCCTCGAGTGATCTGCCCACCTTAGCATCCCAAAGTACTGGGATTACAGGTATAAGCCACCACACCCAGCCTCTGTGCTTTTAACTCATAACCAACTGCTTTCCAGATACTCCATTTGTATGTTTCATAGGATCCTCAAAGTCTACATGTACAAATAAAGGACATTAACTCATCCTGCTCCCTACCCCCAAAATGTTCCTTGTCCTATATTTCTCATCTCAGGATATAATGTATCTCCTCACATGTTAATAATTCAAATCATAAACTTCAAGTCATTTAGCCCTTCTAATTCTCTACATTCAATGAATCATCACATTTAAGTAATTTTATCTTCCAATGTCTCCTGATTCCAATTCTTTCCATTCATAATACCCTGTCATCCCATTTTGCCTCCCCTACAACACACAGCACATTAGTTTCCCTGTATCCACTCTTGTCTCCGCTATTTCCACTTGAAGCAGTCAAAATAATCACTCCTCTGCTTAGAGCATACCACCATTCTTTAAGCGGCATGTAAGGTTGTCCATAATCAGACCCCTAGATCTACCTCTTTGGCCTTCTTCATCAGTCTTTAAGTTTCAGGGTAGCTGTCTCAGCTCTCTAATGTCTCACATCATCATCTGTCTTTACACATTGTTCCTTTCACCTGTCATACTTTTCTTCTACCTGATAGTCTGGCAAAAGTCTAGTTATCGAAAAAGTTGTTGCATAACTCACCTAACTTCAAAATTAAATTCTTTTGCTGTAATGTCTCATGGCCGTTAGGGAGGAAATACTTTGTGTCTGTCCTCTCAGAGTCAGTGTTTGCAGGCCCCAGAGTTAAAGAGACAAACCAGATCAGCAAGAGAAAAGACAGACTTAACCATATACATAATAACAGTTCACAGAAAAAGGTAACTCAGGGAGGCAGAGTTTGGGGCTTATCTACCATCTTAAAGAGAGAAGGCGAAAACAGCACTTATGGAAAAAACAAATGACTTTTAGTGAGAATAAATGGGAACTTAAAACAGATACCAGATACGATATCTTTGTTACAGTGTCTATTTAAGTGTGTTGCCAACTTCTACCCTCCAGTGATAAGAGTCAGTCTTCCCTGGTTTCCCTCCCAGGAGATTGATTTGAATTATTTTGGGTGGTTCTGTGTTTAGACAGATAGATTTCAGAAACTCAGATGTCTTTGTTCAAGATAATTTTTAGGCCACAATGGTGTATTACAGACCTCTTCCTGGTATACAGAATTTCCCTTTCTTAATTCACTGCATAAAGATAGCCTTTGTCTTTCCCTTAAGACTGTAAGCAAATGAAAGCTCATGCCATACTTGCTTTATTCAGTGAGTATTCCCAGCATCTTTACATCGGTTAACCCTAACATGAGGTGGATATCTCCTGGTGAACATCCAAGCCTGTGTGGCCCAATTACTTGATCATTCAAGAACAGCTTGCACAAACACTCAGTGGTCTGGTTAATAAACTTTAACCAGACTTCAAATGAACATATGAATCATATATGGCTTCAAATGAACATATGAATCTTCAAAGTAGTTCATTTACATTGCCTATGAGCTCTGCACTGAATTTGGGTAGACACACTCATCTTATGCTATTGGATGAACATAGTAAATAGTGACAATACTTTCAAGGAGGTAGGGGTATTTTCAATTATGTATCTGAAAGATTGTCAGACTGTTTTCAAGACTTAAGAAGAACTCATTTGATACTTTTAGAAGATGGTGCATTTATCCACGGGTTCTTTTTTGTTTGTTTGCTTTTGTTTGTTGGTTTGTTTTTTGACGCAGAGAGTCTCACTCTGTCGCCCAGGCTGGAGCTCACAGTGACGCAATGTCGGCTCACTACAACCTCCGTCTCCTGGGTTCAAGCGACTCTCCTGCCTCAGCCTCCCAAGTAGCTGGGACTACAGGCGCCCTCCACCACACACTGATAATTTTTGTATTTTTAGCAGAGACGGGGTTTCCACTATGTTAGCCAGGCTGGTCTCCAACTCCTGAACTTATGAGCCGCCCGCCTTACTCCTGAATTTATAAGCCGCCCGCCTCGGCTTCCCAAAGTGTTGGGATTACAGGCGTGAGCCACGCGCCCATCCGGGTTCTTTTGTTTCAGTCAACGTTTACTATCCTAGGACCTAAGTGGAAGAAAACTGCGGATTTTATCAGGAGAAATAACAAAGTAAGCCAAAAGCCATTGGCTCACTTGCCTGGCCTACGGAAAGAAAATCTACGAACCTTTGGTTGGCTGCTGCTCCAGAAGTACAAAGGTAAACAACTCCGGGACTCTGACAGAACCTAACCCCTGCCACCCTTCAGACCACCGGAGTCGTCCCCCCGTGACGTCACCAGAAACTGCTGAATGCGACGCTAAATGGCCCGCCCTCTTGCGCTGCGCTACGGAAGCAAAACGGAAGTGGACGTACAGTGGCTTCCGGGCCTGGACGCCATTTGCAGCGGTAGCTAGGACAATGAGCTATGACAACCATCAGAACTGGGGCCGTGATGGGGGACCCCGCAGCTCCGGTGGGGGCTATGGAGGGGGTCCTGCAGGGGGTCACCGAGGGAGCCGAGGCTCCGGAGGAGGTGGCGGCGGCGGCGGCGGCGGCGGAGGTGGGGGTGGTCGAGGCGGCAGGGACAGGCATCCCGGGCACCTGAAAGGCCGCGAAATCGGCTTGTGGTACGCGAGAAAACAGGGACAGAAGAACAAGGAAGCGGAGAGGCAAGAGGTAATCTCGGATTCGATAGTCGAAGGGATGAGGCAGGACAGGTTTTTTTCCCTCTTCCGCTGCCCCTTTTTTCCTGGTTTTGTTTCTTAAGTGATGCAAGTGCTTTCTGAGATGTAAGTGAGGCGCAAATATATTATGCTGGCGCTTCCTGTAGCGGGTGTACTGATTAATGTTAACCATGCGCATCTGACCGAAAACAGGCAGGATTTATACAGGATGAATATACACTTTGCTTAAAGGACTTCAGAACTGTAACAAAGCAAATGTTAAATTCGTGGTCCAACCGAAATTAACCATTAGGAGTGTCGTTGTCGTTTCTCTTGGCCTTCCTTTCCCTTAGAAGAATAATTGTCACTTTAAGGTCTTTGCCTGGTGACGAAGCAAATAGCGACCTTTCTACATTTTAGAGATAGGTTTGCGCGGAACAGCAGCAGGTAGACACTATTTTGGATGTGGATCTTTCAGAAAAATAGGTTTTATTATTAGTGTTTAAATTATCCACACACCTAGGGTTTGTTTTTTATGTTGGGGTGGGGAAATTTCTATTGATTATCAGGTTCTCTTTGAAAAGGAAAGTGAAAAGAATCTCCAGAGATGATTTGGCTTACTCTCTTCAGGCGATTGTCAAGTTGATTTAAAGATCTGTAGTAAAAGAATTCTGAGTGGCCCATTCTAATAAAAAATTTTTATCATTAAGCGGGAGCTTTCTTAGTGTAGGCCTTTGTTGACTTCCTTTTTAAAAGCACCTTATAAAATGTATTATAGTGTAATTCGATCATCATTTAGACTACCTTTTTTTTTTTTTTTTGGAGACCAAAATCTCACTCTGTCGCCCAGGCTGGAGTCCAGTGGCGCCATTTGGGCTCACTGCAACCTCCGCTTCCCAGGTTCAAGCGATTCTCTTGCCTCAGCCTCCCAGGTAGCTGAGATTACAGGTGTCCCCCACCACCCTCGACTAATTTTTGTATTTTTGGTAGTGACCGGGTTTCACCATGTTAGCCAGGCTGGTCTTTTTTTTTTTTTTTTTTTTTTTTTTTTTTTTTTTTTAAGACAGAGTCTCACTCTGTCGCCAGGCACCAAGCTGGAGTGCAGTGGCACAATCTCGGCTCACTGCAACCTCTGCCTCCCGGGTTCAAGCAATTCTCCTGCCTCAGCCTCGCGAGTAGCTGGGACTACGGGCGCACGCCACCACGCCCAGCTAATATTTGTATTTTTAGTAGAGATGGGGTTTCACCGTGTTGGCCAGGATGATCTCGATCTCTTGACCTCGTGATCCACCCGCCTCGGCCTCCCAAAGTGCTGGGATTACAGGCTGGAGCCTCCGTGCCCGGCCCGGGCTGGTCTTTAACTCCTGACCTCAGATGATCCACCCGCCGCGGCCTCCCATAGTTCTGAGATAACCGACGTGAGCCACCGCGCTGGGCCTAGGCTACTATTTTTAAACCATTCTATTTCTTTTTATTTCTTTTAACCATGTCATCTTCATTCAGGTGTTTGGGGGCGCCTTATCTATTTATCTTCATGACTTATACTTTTCTTTAATAAACAAATCCATTTCTTTTGCGGCCCCAAATTTTTCATTGAGCAAACTGGCTTTTGAAAATCAGGATAGGCATGTCTAGGTAACTTTATCAACTTTTATTTATTTATGCTCTGCTTCAAACAAGGTTTTATGCATGTTGCTCTAGGAACTTGAAGAAATGTGATATTCAAGGAGCTTACAGTCTAGCTGGGAAAAAAATACCTAAACAGATGAAAACTTAAATAACAGGAAAATCTGTTCATTATTGTTTCCACATGAAAGGTATAGCCAATTGTGCTGTGGATGTTATGAATGGAACTTTTGATTTCTACTTGCGTTCCCATCCTCCTTTTAGTGGTGACATGGCCATTTATTGACTTGCCAGAACAAGTGGGATTTATCTTTGCTTCTTCCCCTTCATTTCAGCAAAGCTCTGCCTTCTTAATATATCCCAAATGTAACCACTTATCTCCAGAATAATTAACACAGATCAAACCACTGTTTGTTTTCTATTCTTGCCTTAATAGTCTTCTAGCTTCCATTCCTGCTTTGCATTGTCTTTGCTCTGCAGAGCCGCCTATAGTGATGTTTTAAAAGGAAAAATTAGATCATTTCATTCCCTAAGTCAGAACTTGAGATTGGAAGTCATGTCACTTCTGTCTCATTCTAATACATTTCAGTTGCATCTTGACATTTCTGGAAATCTTGGTAATAATGGCTTCAACACAACAAGTTTACCACTATGCACATTTCTCTGAGCCCATGTCCCCTGGCTGGTGTAATTATAGCTTTTGTAAACATACTTTATTTCTACTTTTTATTACAGTGTCATACCATTCTCCCATCTAAAACGTACCTTTCCATCTTGTTGAAATATGAGTATTTTTCAGTGGGCTCATCCCAGCTCTTCCTTTGACCACCTTTATCCTGATGTAATTGCTTCCAGTCAGAATTTCGGTAGCTTTTACTTTTCAAGTCATGTCCTGTATTTTCAAAATGAATGCTTTTTTTTTTTTTTTTAAGGTGGATTCTCACTGTGTCACCCAGGCTGGAGTGCAGTGGCGTGATCTCAGCTCACTGCAGCCTCTGCTTCCCGAGTAGCTGGATTGCAGGTGCATGCCACCACACCTGGCTAATTTTTGTATTTTTAGTAGAGACAATGTTTTGCCATGTTGGCCAGGCTGGCCTTGATTGAGCTCCTGACCTCAGGTGATCCACAAGCCTCGGCCTCATAAAGTGCTGGGATTACAGGCATGAGCCATGGCGCCTGGCCAAAAATGAATGCATTGTAATGATGCATTCTTGAACAAATGTTCTTTCAACAAATATTTATTGAGGACATTATTTTTGTAACAGTATCTTAAGCACTGAATTAATAAAATAGATATAGGTTCTACAGAGATTGTGTTGTGTTAGGAGCAAGACAATATCATTGTCTTCTATTAGAGACATGGGCTAGAGAATATGGGCTGTCACCTAAATCAGGTCAAGGTATTTAGAAGATTTTTCAGGGACAGTAACCCTTAAGCTAAAACTTGAAACATAGCAAAGTGAATGAACATGTGTGTGTTTGAAGTTTTGGAGTTTGGCAAAAGATTCCAGGCAGAGGCAGTAGCATGTGCCACAACGTAGAGATCAAGGAAGCATATGTTCAGTTCAAGAAACAGAAAAAGGTAAGAACATGGATGTGAGTGTAGTGAGATGAAGTTAGGCAATTTCAAACTTGTTGGCAACTTTGCACAAAAAGAAACGAATATATTTGAATTTACGACCCAGTACACACATAATGTATAACTAAACGAAAAGTTTCGTAAAATATTTAATTTCCTGCACATTCCTTTGAGGTTTTTTGTTTGTTTTTGAACTTATCTGCTCTCTTTTTATTAATCCTGGTCATGATCCTTTAGTATAATTTCAGAAACAGCAATCTGAAAATCTCTGAGCTAGAAAAATAAGCAGGGCCTTGAGATATATTGACTCTGTCTAAATACTGTAGCAAGCCATTAAAACATTTTAAACAAAAAATGAAATGACTGGATTTTAAATGTTTAAATTCACTCTGGTAGCAGTAAAAGGAATGGATTGAAGAGAGGCAATCCTGGTTCAGGGAGACCAGTTAAGTAGCCCTTGCAGTAACTAAGGTGAGAAGTGACAGGAATTAGCAGGTTGGCAGTGGAAATGGAAGTGGATAAAGTGATTTAGGAGGTAGACTCAAAATGATTTTGTGATTTATTTTATCTGAAAGGACGAGTACAGTGTTCATGATGACTCTTTATGCCTGTATGTAAGGATCAGGCTTGTTGGAGGAAGATGATAGGCTCAGCCACGGACACTATGAATTTGATATTGTTATAGGGCATACAAATGAGGATCTGCAGGCGGGAGAAGGCTGTGCAGATCTGATGCCTAGAAATCTAGACTGGAAATAAGTTTGACAGGTTATGGGCTCATGGATAGTAGTTGGAGTGTGGGAATGAACCGTGAGAAATGAAGTGGGCCCAGCCTGAATTCTGTAGACCATTGCTTCTCAGACTTTAATGTACGTACGAATCACCTGGCATCTTGTTAAAATGTAGGACACTGGTCGGACCAGAGATTCAGCTTTTCTTACAGGATCCCAGATGATGCCAGTGTTGCTGGTCTGTAGATTACTCAGGCTGTCAATACAGAAAATGAAATTTTAAGGGACAGGCTGAGGAAAAGAAGGTTGCAAAAGAATCTAAGATCAGCCAGAGAAGAGAAAAATAAGGTGCGTGTTGTTTTGAAATCTAAGAGTAGTGTTTGAAGGAAAGAAGAGTATCTCAAGAGGAAGTAATTGATAATGGCGAGCATGCACAAACGGCTTAAGAGCTGAGAATGTCTATTGGATTTATCAACAAGGTCATTGATGATCTTAATGGAAGCCCTTTTTGTGGCATTGTGGAAGTAAAAGCCAGATTGCAGTAGGGTGGCAAGTGAAATAGAGATTAGGAAATGGAACATTTTCCAGGAGTTTTGCTGTGAAGAGGAGGAAGAAAAATAGGGCAGTAGTTGTTGTGGGTAGGCGAATTCAAGAGAGGGGTTTTTTTCTTGTTGTTGTTTCTAAGGTGAAGAAATTTGACCATGTTCATGTCCTGATGGGAAGCACCCAGTGAAAAGGAAATCAGAGTGGGCCAAATTTTGCTGCAATAATAACCAGCCCCTAAATCTTAACGGTTTATAGCAAGCAAGGCTTGATTTTCTGCCACATTAATAAAAGAAGCAAACCAGAAAATATCGGTGAGCTGCCTAATGTCTCCTGGAAAGGTTAGAAATTTAGGAAAGCAAGATAAATCTCAGTGAAGGAGATGGCCCTGAGGACATGAAAGGAATTGGACTGCAGAGCTGAGGTTGAGGAAAGAAAAAAGGATAAATTCTGATACAGGTGTGTTTAGGTTTGGTGATAACCAACTGAGGACCTTTTCTTCTTAGGGCTTTTGTTTTGTGAAATACTGTGTTTGAAATGCTGAGGGCAAACAGAAAGGTGGTATTGGCCTGTTACAGAGAATGAGGAGACAGTTTGAAGTAGTTGCAGATAATTAGAAAGCTGATAAGATAAATTTGGTGAACATCATTTAGGGTCTTTTGCCAGGAACTGAAAACTAGAAGCAGGATATTTGAGAATGTCCAAGAAAGCAGGAAATAATCAAAATTCAATGATAAAAGAAAATAGTCATGAAACAAAATGTGTTTCTGAGATTCTCCGGGCAAAGAGAAATAAAGTAAAATGTGGTAGAACTGGAAGAAGGTTGTTGAGTGGGAGGGAGGCAGCCTACAAAAAGGCAAGATCCCAGTTTGGAATTAAGATATGTTCTCTGCTACCTGCAACGTCCGAAAACTCATTGTGGGGAGAACGTCATTAAAAATACAAATGTTTTTATTTAGAGTATAAATTATGTTTTCAATATGTATTCATTGTAAAAGATAGATTCAGCCATTCATTTATTCTATAGACAGACTTTTCTGGGCGTATGCTATATGCTAGAATTCTATCTGGCAGAGACACTGCAAAAAGTGTGGGATATGGGGAGTTAACTATTTTTAAATTAATAGTAATAAAAATAACTACACAACTGACTTTTTTCATTTAATACTTTGGTCATCTTTCCTGTTTGTACACTTGCAGAAAGATCTACCCACTCTTAATTGGTGTACTACAATTCAACTAAATCCTTATTGATTAGCAGACGCTTACTTGGTACATATGCATTGTGTAAGGAATCTTGAAAAACTACCAACTGATGTTGACTTTTTAATGAAAACTGATTTTGTTGTGATAGCTTGGACTGAAAGATTGTGTGGATCTGTTTATTTTCTCTAGAATGTTACATTACCCGGTAATTCACCTTTCCCAGCGTGAAATCTCATAAAATTAGAATAATCTTTTGTGGTGTTATGGGCAGGAGGTAGGCAATGTATTGTGAAATGTCAATCTAGGAAATTGTTTACTAAGCAAAATACAGAGTAGTGAGTTAACATGGAAAACTGAAAACTGTAAGAATAGCGGATAAAGGTTATGTTCTAAACAGATAAATCAAGAAGCCTTAAGAGGACTTTTAGTAGAGACATTTTATAGCCTGATAACTGTCTCATTTTCATTTCAGAAAAGGAGGTAACATGTAGTTCATTTGCCTTACTTCCTCAGGTTTATTGTTTTATCACTAATGATTTCTTATTTTTATCAGATTGGGTTATCCTCCTGCCCATGTAAACTTATTTGAGGTTTCACAAAGCATGTAATACTGATTAGAATTAGAATGTCTCGTAAAATCCTTTCTCTTGTCTTAAACATGCTTAGGTCTTGTTCTCCTGGAACACATGCTTCTCCACCCACCCTGGGTTTTCAAACTCTGTGTTAAACTTTGTTATGACCAGCTGTTTTCGTGTTTAATTGTGATAAAATAAATTGAAGAGAAGATAGTTACACTGTACAGAGTAAGGAAAGTATTTTGTGAACTTATTCATATATATGTGTACCGGGTCATTAGTTTTACTGTGGATTGCTATGAAAAAAATAAACAGTTGAAATCTATTGCTCTAGATTTTAGAGTATTTTACACAGTGCTGTCTGCTTTCATCAGTCTCCTTACCCTAACTCCTGCTTTCCCCTATTCTCCCCCCCCCCAAAAAAAACAAAACCTCAAAAACCAGAAATACCTTGAAGATCATTTCCAACTGCCTAGTTGTTGAATGTAGCAGTAAATTTTTCAGTTCTCTGCCTTAGTTATGTTAATTTTATACTTCTGATTCCTTTTTAAACACTTTTTTTCACTTGTTCGGGTGGTTTGTCACTGTGTGTTCCTAGTCTTTTGCTTGTTCTCTTGATTGTTCTTCTGACTTATTTTCCTTCCTTGGCCCCATGAATGCCAGACTTGGTCAACCTTATGTCCTCATCTTTGGAGGTGGTATTATTTGTAAATTGAGATAACTCCTGTGTCTCTGTGATTTCCACCTTTCAAAACACTGCAAAATTTCTATCATAACTCTAAAAACAAAGCGTCTCCAGAGATCCAGTTCCATGTATTCATCTGCCTAATCATTATTACAAGTTGGGAAATTTCATCGTTGTTCTTAATTGCATAAAATCCAAACTTAGCATCCTATTTTGACCTCCATTCCCACCACATGCACACAAAAATGTACAGTATCATAGAGCAGCCTCCTCCTAATGATTCATCTTAACTGCTGTTCTGTCAGGATCCACCCTTGAATTTCAAAACAGTTGTCTTTGATTCTTTTTTCCCTTTTGTCTCTCCCCTACTTCCACCAAATAGTCATTAAGTCCTATGGTTTCTTTCTTTTGCTTTTTGACTATTTTCTTTTCATTTTTACTTTCATCTTCCTCCTCCTTTGGTTCTTTAACTTAACACACTCTAATTTTCACCACTCCTTGTGTACTTCCTGTTGACTTTGAATTTATGTGCACATTAGAACATAAGGTTTATAGGCCCATAGATTTTGAAGAATCCTGTTTTCAACTTACTATATCTAAATACAAAAGTCTCCAAAGAATTGGGTTTTGGCACTTTTTTTTTTTTTTTTTTTTGAGACGGAATCTTACTCTGTCACCCAGGCTGGAGTACAGTGGCGCGATCTTGGCTCACTGCAACCTCTACCTCCTGGGTTCAGGCTATTCTTCTGCCTCAGCCTCCTGAGTAGCTGGGACTACAGGCACATGCCACCACGCCTGGCTAATGTTTTTGTGTTTTTAGTAGAGACAGGGTTTCACCACCTTGGCCAGGCTGGGCTTGAACTCACCTCGTGATCCGCCCACCTTGGCCTCCCAAAGTGCTGGAATTACAGGTGTGAGCCACTGCGACTGGCTTTTTTTTTTTTTTTTTTTTTTACCTTGGACATTTCTTAGATGTGCATTTAAAGTTTCTGAACATTTTCATGATTCACCAAGGACCTTTATCTTTATCCAGTCTGTTGTGTTTTATTTTCATCCTTTGAAGCAACTGCTGCATTTGCCACATTGGATCACCCTATGAACGCTGATCAATTTTATTTACTCCTTCTGAGCTCAGCCTTACTTACCAATTTATTCTTCTATTTAGTGTAATAACTTTCAAATATTTACTACAACCAAAATATTTCCAGTTTTCAACTTTTTCTTAAACCATTTGAGTTTTAATAACTTTGAAATTTTAAGATAGGGAGAAATTCATAATAATTAGTGTGTGAGAGTTAGGGAACTAAAGTTGTAGGAAGAGTCATAAATAAGCTTTCTTTGAGAATCTTACTAGGGCTAATTTTATGGATGCTTGTGAAAAAAGGTGTAGAGGGATGTGTACCAAAATTTTCACATTAATTAATTAGGTCTGGGAACGGGGATTGGGCTAGAGGACAAGTGTAGTTAACTTTCTTTTATACTTATTTGTTGGACATATATTACTTAGCCTTTATTTTCTTTAGTATCAAATAATTTTTTGCATATGCTTTCGTATATTGATAAAGATGCTTTTTTCTTTGCACAAACTAGAGAGCTGTAGTACACATGGATGAACGACGAGAAGAACAAATTGTGCAGCTACTGAATTCCGTTCAAGCGAAGAATGATAAAGAGTCGGAAGCACAGATATCCTGGTTTGCTCCTGAGGATCATGGGTACGACAAAAAGTATTCTTTTAAAGAATAGACAAAGAATAACACTTTAATAGTTAAAAAAAAAAATCTTTATATTCTTCATTAAGTGAAGTTTAACCTTGACATACTTTTTTTTTCTTATGTAGATCAAACAGATTTAGAAAATGACTTTTAAAAATTTATATGGCATATTTCCACAGGAAAGCTAAGTGGTTTGAATAATAGTGAATCTGGATATGAGATATACTAAGTTGTTATTTATTGTTCTTCCTACCTGTCCTCTTTGTATTTATGAAATTATTCTGTGTGGGAGATCTGCAAGAAGTGTAATTGCTATTGTTTTAGAAAGGTTGTAAGAACTGTATCATTTAGAGGAAAAATTAGTAGACTGTTTCAAGGACTGTATAATGTAGCATCCTATTTATAGCTCAGAAAGGGGGGCAAGAAAAAAAATGTTGCAACATTAAACAAGTTTAAGAAAACCAGAGGCCGGGCGCGGTGGCTCAAGCCTGTAATCCCAGCACTTTGGGAGGCCGAGGCGGGTGGATCACGAGGTCAAGAGCTCGAGACCATCCTGGTCAATATGGTGAAACCCCGTCTCTACTAAAAATACAAAAAATTAGCTGGGCATGGTGGCGCATGCCTGTAATTCCAGCTACTCAGGAGGCTGAGGCAGGAGAATTGCCTGAAACCAGGAGGCGGAGGTTGCGGTGAGCCGAGATTGCGCCATTGCACTCCAGCCTGGGTAACATGAGTGAAACTCTGTCTCAAAAAAAAAAAAAAAGAAAAAGAAAAAAAAAAACCAAAAAAAAAAAAAAAACGCTGTAAGTAACCGCAATAAAGGAATGACTATTATATGGATTTTTATTTTTAACTACCACAAGGAATAACTTAATCTGGCAATATCTCTTTAAAGGGAAGAAAAATTTGAATTTGTTATAAGAATCTAAATATATTTTCATAATTGCTGTACTAAGAGAAAAGAAAAGCTTTGGATTTGGATGACTTTGAAATATTTAAACAGCTTTTTGTTTTGTTTTGTTTTGTTCCAGGGTTTGAGTGGCTCTTTTCTGACCTTTCTTCCCTTCTTATTTTATTAAAACAGATATGGTACTGAAGTTTCTGCTAAGAACACACCACACTCAGAGAAAAAACTTGACAACCAGGAAACAAAGTTGATAAACCAAGAAAAAAAAGTGTTTAGAATCAGGAACAAGTCATATATTGATCGAGATTCTGAGTATCTCTTGCAAGAAAATGAACCAGATGGAACTTTAGACCAACAATTATTGGAAGATTTACAAAAGAAAAAAAATGACCTTCGGTATATTGAAATGCAGGTAGTGGAAAGATTTCAAAAAATATTTTGTCATTTTTTTTCTTACACTTAATAAAAATCTATGTAGAGTTAGTGGTAACTGCATGGCATAGATTAGTGAGATCCTCAATAAGACATCCTCTGTTGGAATTATTTTCTTTTCGAATGGTAGAAGAAAACAGTGGGGATGGAAGTTACACATAAACTACAGTATTCTATCTCATCCACAGAAGCTTATGTGGTGAGGAGAAGAAATAGTTGAGAAATGCTAGTGCAAATGGAAAAAAAAAAAATTACTCTTCAGCTCTACCTGTGCAGTAAAGGCAGTTAAAATTGTTGAATTTGTTCCAGATTACTTAATACATCTCTTTCCCTTTATAGATGATAAAATTAATTATTTCAAAAGTTATGTGATATACTGTGTTCACTAGCATTTCAAATACAGGATTATCACAAGACCCGAGATTCTCCTGAATTCTAATATTTTCTTTCTACACTAGGCAAGATATTTTAAGGTCCCTTTCAGTTAAAACATAAACTTGTATGCTTTGTGGGTGTTCTAGAGATGTAATAAAGTGGTCGCCTGTATGTATATATATTTTTAAGAGAAATTACCGAGGAAACTCTGAGGGCCGTGTCTTTAATATGCAAATACATACTGCTGTTTTTGATAAAGCAAGGATATAGCACCTCCTATAGGAAAGAAAGGATCTATTGACTCACTGATGAAAGTTATATTTTTAGTAGAGATAGGGTTTCACCATATTGGCCAGGCTGATCTCGAGCTCCTGACCTCGTGATCCACCTGTGTCGACCTCCCAAAGTGCTGGGACTACAGGTGAGAGATACTGCGCCTGGCCTAGTGCTTTACTGCCACTTACTTTAAAGCATTGTCTCCATTTTGCTGGATGTTTTAGAGTTCTGGTTTTGAATGTTTCATACATAAAAGGAATTGGTGAATTATTCTTTATGATTTTTTTACACAAGCCATAAGATAATAAAAATAGTTTTGGATCTGGATCCTAGCAAACTTATCCTATGTTTCCTAGTTACCATGATTATAATTTGATTACATACGTTTTGTGAAAATTTAAAACTTTTTTTTTTTTAATTTCAGCATTTCAGAGAAAAGCTGCCTTCATATGGAATGCAAAAGGTAAAGTGCTTTTTTCCACTATTTAATTTGATTTGCAAATTAAATACACAATTTTTTTTAAAAAAAGGTCTATATCAAGAAAAAATTAAATTAATGAACTTTCTTCTACAAGATAGTATTGGAAGTTAATTTTATTCTTTTGCATTAAGTACAAAAAGGAAAAAAAGAAGGATCATAAACAATTATCCTGACGTTTTCTCCTATTTTTGTCCATAGTTGAAATCCTTGAAATTTAAAAAGTAAAGTTTCCTCTTCTAAGTTACTTTGAATAAATACCTTACACTTATGTCAAGACCAAACACTTCAGTTAAAATTGATGCACTACTAAAAATACAGTAATTACACTATAACCTGGCATTTTAAAGACACCCAGTAAATAAATATCTGCTGAATGAATGAATCACATTCACTTCTCAATATTTACCAGCTGTAATTTCAGTGTTTAAACGTACAATTTTTTCTGATATATATATATATATATATATACACACACACACACATATATATGTATATGTATAACGTGTTCTAATAAGTGGGGAACGTTTTTTTGTTTTTTGTTTTTGAGAGGGAGCCTCGCTCTGTCGCCAAGCTGTAGTACAGTGGCACAATCTCGGCTCACTGCAACCTCCAACTCCTGGGTTCAAACAATTCTGCCTCAGCTTCCCGAGTAGCGGGATTATAGGTGCACACTACCACGCCCAGCTAATTTTCATGTTTTTAGTAGAGACCGGGTTTCACCATGTGGGCCAGGATGGTCTCATCTCCTGACCTCGTGATCTGCCTGTCTCTGCCTCTCAATGTGCTGGGATTACAGGTGTGAGCCACTGTGCCTGGCCTAAGTGGGGAATTTTTAAAAGGTAGGTTTTTGAGTTCAATTGTTTTATACATGAAAATAACACATATCATCCCTTTAAAGTAGTAAGATTACTTTGTTTATACAGCGCATATTGTTAGAAATACTAATATATACAATTTTTAAGAAAGTAGGTCTTCCCCAAATAAGAGGTTTTCTAGGTAGCTTTGGTTTAGATATTTAATGACTGAAAGGAACTAATCTTAAAATACAGTATTCTCTTCCTTGTTCCTAAAATGGCATTCAAAACTTGTTCTGCAGACAAAGCCATATTTACGAACTATGATATAAATTCATAATGTCCTCAGTAGTTGTTTAAGTGAGGGTTTTGCTTCTGTACTCAGTAGCCCCACATGTCAGCATTATTTTAATTCTTCTGCATGGAACTTATATCTTGTCTCTACTTGTTTATGTCAGTATGTTTTACTTTAACAGTGCTTTAGCTTTGTTCTTTATAATTTGGTGCACTTATCTTTTGTAGGGTGGTAGATCCAGATACCCAAACTGCCAGTATTGCATATGGCAACATTTAGAAAGCATTAATTGATTTGTTAAAAATAATTATCTTCAGCTTGGTCGATTTTTGATATCTTTTTTCAGACTTAGTCAACATCTGATTGTCTTTATTTATTTTCCCTTTTGAAATAGGAATTGGTAAATTTAATTGATAACCATCAAGTAACAGTAATAAGCGGTGAAACTGGTTGTGGCAAAACCACTCAAGTTACTCAGTTCATTTTGGATAACTACATTGAAAAAGGAAAAGGATCTGCTTGCAGGATAGTTTGTACTCAGCCAAGAAGAATTAGTGCCATTTCAGTAAGTTGTCTCTTAACTTATTAAAAATGTCTCTTTTAAAGTAATCTTGCTAGAACCTACTGATTCTGAAGGTATGGAGTGATTCTTAATTAGGCTTAGGATTTGTGACTATGAAAGCAAATATTTGCTTGTCATGTTTAATAATAAAGGCCAAAAAATTGAGTAATCTCTGTCTTAACAGATAATAGATGTTTATGAATTCAAGATAAACTTTATATCCAGGTGAATTTCAGTATGTATTCGAAAGAATGAAATAGATAAAATGTTTATAGAATTGATTAGAAGCTCAAATAATCTCCATCATTTGATTCTTTAAATTTTACTACTTGGTTATTTAATATGTTTTTTTTTTTTACTTCTCTTATTTTTTCAGTATGTAAGTACACTGAATGGTAGTGAAAATGGGAAAACATTTTTTTTTTTAAGCTGCATTTCTATAGTCAGTGATTTATTTATTTATTATTATTAGTCTTTGATACAGGGTCTTACCTTGTCACTTAGGCTGGCATGTAGTGGCGGTAACATGGCTCAGTGCAGCCTCAACCTCTCGGGTTCAAGTGATCCTCCTGCCTCAGCCCCCCAATAGGTGGTACTATACACATGTGGCACCACACCTGGCTAATATTTGTGTTTTTTGTAGAGATGGGGTTTTGCCATCTTGCCCATGCTGTTCTCGAACTACTGGTCTCAAGCAGTCTGCCCACTTTAGCCTTCCAAAGTGCTGGGATTATTGCCACTGTGCCTAGCCATAGTCAGTCAGTTTTGAATGCAGCTACTCAGTAAGAGGAAATTTTTCGTGAGAAGAAATAGGTATTGTTTCTGATTTGTCAAGTCCAAAATTTTGGGAAGGTATGCATAAGTAACAGTTATAAGTAACTGTTATTTCAGCTTGAATATATGAAATCCAGAATACTCAAAAATCCAGAACTGTTTGAGCACCAACATGGAAATGCTTATGAGAGCATTTCACATTTTTATTTTCAGATTTGGGATGCTTATCAAGGGTAAGTATAATGCAAATATTCCAAAATCTGAAACCGAAAACATTTCTGGTCCTGAGCATTTTGGCTAAGGGATACTCAACCTGTATGTTGATTTTTTTGTCGCCATTGTTTTTAGTTAGATGACCTAGTTAAATATGTGAATTATATATTTTTTAAAGATGTTGGAGGTTTCTTGTCATATTTCCGCCTGCATGGTGAATTTATGCTATATGATCCTGTGTATAATTACAAAGATTTATGGTTGTCTTTGGTTTAATGACAGTGCTGTTTATCACATCTAAGTCATTTAATACAGAATCCATGGTTAAAAGTGTAACCAATTATGAAAGCATTTGGCAGTGAATACAGTATGTGTTTTAAGCTTTGCTTTCTAAGAAGTACTATAAAGAAAATGCAGTAGTCTTCACCCCTTTAAAAAAAAATTGTAAATTTATGGGATACACGTTCAATCTTGTTACATCCATAAATTGTGTAGTGGTTAAGTGAGGGCTTCTAGGGTATCCATCACCCACATCATATACATTGTACCTATTAAGTAATCTCTCATCATCTGTCCCTCTCCTGGCTTCTCTTCTGAGTCTCCATTGTTTGTCATTCCACACAATATGTCCACATATACCTGGTTTTTAGCACCCACTTATGAGAAATGTGATATTTGTCTTTCTATGTCTATTTTGACATGGTTTAACTCATGACTGAGTAGTATTCCTTTGTGGTATACATATATATACACCACATTTTCTTTATCCAGTCATCCATTTATGGGTACTTAGATTGATTCCTTATCTTTACTATTGTGAATAGTACTGTGATAAATATGCAAGGCAGGTATTTTTTTGATACACTGATTTCTTTTCCTTTAGGTAAAAACCCAGTAGTGGGATTGCTGGATCAAATGATAGCTCCATTTTTAGTTCTTTGAGAAATCTTCATACGGTTTTCCGTAGACGTTATACTAATTTACATTTCCACCAGCAGTGTATAAGAGTACTCTTTTCTCCATGTCCTGGCCAAGATCTAGTATTTTTTGACTCTTTAATAGTAGCCATTGTGACTGGGATAAGATGATATCTCATTGTGGTTTTAATTTGCATTTCTCTGATGATAAGTGATGATGTGCATTCTTCATATACCTGTTTGCCATTTGTATATTTTCTTTGGAAAAATGTCTGTTGTCTTTTGCACATCTTTTAATGGGATGATTTGTCTTTCGTTGTTGTTTGAGTTTCTTGTATACACTGGATTCTTGTCCACTGCTGGATGAATAGTTTGCATATATTTTCTTCCATTCTGAAGATTATCTGTTTACTCTTGATTATTTCTTTTGCTGTATAGAAACTTCTTAGTTAATTCTTACTTGCCTATTGTTATTTTTGTTTTTGTTGCCTGTGCTTTTGAGGTCTTAGTCATAAATTCTTTGCCTAGACCAATGTCCAAAAGAGTATTTCCCTGGGTTTTCTTCTAGTATTTTTAGTTTTAGGTAGTCTTCACTCTTTTATGGGGGACAATATTCCAGGAAATTGCATAAAATTACAGAATGGTGAAAAATAAACCACTTTTGTCATAACACAATTATGTAGCTGGATGTAAATATTTTCACTAATATATAGCAGTTACCATATATGCTGACAGTAGGAAGAAATAGTAACTAGGTAATTTTTTCCTGTTTTTTTTTTCCCTGATCTGTTGGAATTTGAGTAGACAGATTAATGTGGTCTGTCTGTGTATACTAGATATACTTATTGGAAAGTTTTACTTCTAAAGTATTATTTCTTAGCAATTATGCCATTTTCTATTTCTAACCTCTTATTACTCTTCTGTCACAAGCTAACTGTCGGTTACTTTTAGTTATACAAATCAATATTAGATTATAACATTTAATTTTTCCAAAGCTTATTTTTGGCAGTCAGAACTTTGAAAACATGACCAAGAACTAAAAAATCAACACCAGTCCCTACGACAAACGAAAACACAAGGGAAGAATATCAACATGTAATTCTTTTCAAATTACACACAAGTTCTACAAGTTTAAATCTTGATTTACAACTCTTAGAAAAGACCAGAAAAGTATAAATCAATGAGAGGATGTATAGAAAGGCACTTTGAAAATAGTGATGAGAGAACTTGGCCTTAAAAGACTTTGAAAGGGGAAGTGAAAGTAAACATAAACAGCTCTTAAGACATACCTGTTTTGGATACCTTAGATTTTAATATCTGTTTTTTTAAACTCATTTGAAAATCTGAAGAAAAATTTTTCAATAGTCTTAGATTTTCATGGATATTTAGGATGTTTGTTCTAAAATTATATTCTCTTTGTATTTTGTTTGAATTAAAGGTTGCAGAAAGAGTGGCTGCAGAAAGGGCAGAATCTTGTGGCAACGGTAATAGCACTGGATATCAAATTCGTCTCCAGAGGTAAGAAATGTTCTCTTCTTATATATAGGTAGATTTTAATGAAACTCTGAAGCTAGAGATTCAGAAGGAAGATTCCCTATTTTTATGATGGTTATTACTGTTACTAACATTTAACATAATGGCAGCAGAGATGGCTTGCTGCCACAAATTTATCTTTTAACCCCAATCTGACTTAGATTGTGTTTTTAAAATGGTGCTTTTATATTTGGAATGATTAGAAAAATAAACATTTTTCCTGGACATATGTTAGAAGACCATTACTCCCTCTGAAAAGATTGTGTTCTAAACGTTTGTGTACCACCTCCACACACTTCAGACTGACTGTATTTGTTGATTTTGTTATCTTAACCCCCATCCAGCTCCACTGTGCAGTACGTACTTCGTCCTTTTCTGGAGCTTAAGACTCCATTTGCCTTTTTATGTTTTAATTTACTTAATGTTTTTTAGAGATAGGTTCTCACTCTTGCTGTGGCTAGAGTGCAATGGTGCAGTCAACTTTATGCAGCCTTAGACTCAAGCAGTCCTCCCGCTCAGCCTCTCATGTAGCTGGGACTACAAGGCACACACCACCGTGACTGGCTAATCTTTTTACTTTTTGAGACTGAATCTTGCTTTGTTGCCCAGGCTGGTTTTGAGCTCTTGGGCTCAAGCAACCTTCCCATCTCGACCTCAAAGTGTTGGGATTACAGGTGTGAACCACCATGTCTAACCCATTTGCCTTTTCAAATGAGTGAACTTTCCAATTCCAAGCCAAATATTTAGTCCTCATAAGTAATTCAATTGTTGTCTGAATGTTAATGGTCATGTCTTTTCAAAGAAATTAACATTGTATCAATGGCAACAAGATAATGTATAATGAACTTGAATGAAGTATTTTCCATTACCCCATTGTGGTGGGTGTTCTTATAACTAAAATTATGAAGAATTAGAATAACTAATTAAGTATGAAGATTTTCATTAAACTGAAAGCGTTTCTAAAATTGAAGATTTAAACCTTTGTGGTACTTAAGTTTATTATAGAAAAGAAAACCAAGAATTATTTATTCATGTCTTTCATTCACAGTCGGTTGCCAAGGAAACAGGGTTCTATCTTATACTGTACAACAGGAATTATCCTTCAGTGGCTCCAGTCAGACCCGTGAGTATGTTTCAATTAAGGAAATATAAATATTATCAAAAGATGTAATTGTTAAATTGGATTTTACTAGTAGTTAAAGAAAAATGGTTTTAAGATTTTGTGCTTCACACTTCTGCCTTAGGCATCTGTCCAGTGTTAGTCATATCGTACTTGATGAAATCCATGAAAGAAATCTGCAGTCAGATGTTTTAATGACTGTTGTTAAAGATCTTCTCAATTTTCGATCTGACTTGAAAGTAATATTGATGAGTGCAACATTGAATGCGGAGAAGTTTTCAGAATATTTTGGTGAGTAAAATGTATAGTTATTACATCAGAAAAGGTACTAGAAAACCACTTAATTTAAAAAATTAATATGGTACTAGGTAGAGAGTAGTCAAAATGAATGTTTAGCAATTAATTTTATTTTAATATTATTCTACCCTCCAGTTTCATGGGTTAGACAGTTCAGTCTGTTTTTAATGGTGGCATCATCTCTGATAGTGAGGATATGTAGCTGCTTGTTGCTACTACCACACAATTAAGATGGCATTGTTGAAGTCAAAGCACAGATTTGCATAATTTTATAAACTTCTTTCTGTAATTTTTCTGTGGCTTTTATCTACTATCACAGATTAGGGTGGCAGTTTGCTGCCAATACTACTGGTGACCACTTAAGGAATACCTTCAGTGTTCCAGGTAGTATATTTGCCACTTTGTCTTCTTTAGTCTTTATAATACTTTATGAGGTAGGTACTATTATTTACATTTTTACAGATGAGAAAGCAGTCCTGGAGCAGTTAAGAGGCTTTCACAAGCTGACCCTAGATTTGGCCAGCTGCAAACACATTCTTTTAAAATTAATCCTCACTGTCTTCCCTGCTTATAATTGTGAAAGAAGGAGGGGGAAAGGGAGGGAATTACAACGTAATATAGTTATGTTTACTTACATGTTCTTGTCATCAGCTTTTTAAAAGTCCTTTAAAATATATCCCAGTTAATACTCAAAACAATGTAAGATTAGTTGGGGTAGGTGTTATAATTGTTATTTTTAAATGAAACTTCAATAACTGGTATTGAATACCTTGCTCAAACGTATGCACATTATGGGCAGAGCAGTGATACCTGCTCAGATATTTTGACCTCTGATGTGATGTTTGCTTTTGTTTTCAGTGTGTACTGCTTGTTCTGCTTTTTTAAAGAGCATTTAAATAACAGTGCTAAAGTGATATTTTTATTAGTAATTTTGAAATAGTGAAAAATGTATTTGTTTAGGTCTTGTTTTGATTACTTTTCTCCACTAATTCTGGGTACTGCAGGTAGTAATGCTTATCTAGAATTCTGTAAAACTTTGATATTCTGGATATTCTCTTATGGTACCATCTTGTTAATGATGAAGAGAAAATAGACTTCTAATTAATGGATTTTGAGTACAACTTAAAACTCTATTCTTTGATATTCTGTGTTATTTTGTAGAACTGAGATGTGTGTACAGTTTGGTAGCAGTAAAATGGTATTGAGAGAAGACTAGACTGCTGCTTTTTATTAAAGTAGATATGGAAAAATAGGGTAGAACTGTAAAAGCTACAGGACCTTTTTCTGGAATTAAGAATAGTAAGTAATAGAGTCATTGTCCTATTTACAGTATATTGATTTCTTTAACATTTGAGTACAAATTTACGCTTATATTTTGTCTGCCATGATAGGTAACTGTCCAATGATACATATACCTGGTTTTACCTTTCCGGTTGTGGAATATCTTTTGGAAGATATAATTGAAAAAATAAGGTAAGTAAACATTAGGAAATAAAAAAATCAAAAAGTACTAATATATCACTTTTCTCATGTCAAATTTTAGTCTCAGAAATCCACCATTGACTACTTCCTTATAAAACATTTTTCTGTGAATTAGGTATTCACACACTTGGCTGCACATTAAAATTACCCAGAGCTTTTTAAAATCCAAATGTCTGGTTTATACTCCTTACCTAAATTATATTACAATGTCTGAGGCAGTAGCCAGGCATCAGTTTTTTTTTATTTGTTGTTTTTGTTTTTGGTTTTTTTGAGGCAGATTCTCTGTCACCCAGCCTAGAGTGCAGTGGAACGATCTCCACTCACTTCAACCTCCGCCTTGCAGGTTGAAGCTATTCTTCCTCAGCCTCCCAAGTAACTGGGATTACAGGCATGCACCACCATGCCTGACTAATTTTTGTGTTTTTAGTAGAAACGGAGTTTCACCATGTTAACCAGGCTAGTCTTGAACTCCTGACCTCAATTGATCTGCCTGCCTTGGCCTCCCAAAGTGCTGAAATTACAGGCATGAGCCACCACGCCCGGCCGGCATCAGTGTTTTTGAAGATCTTGGGCAGCAAAGTTTGGGAACCTCTGTCTTTAGAGTTTGATCCCCTTTTCTGGTTCTCCTACCTGATTTTCACTTTCCTTTGTTGGCTTCCATTGCCCAACCTTTAAATATAATTTCCCCCAGGCTTTTCAATCATTTGTTTTCACTGTACAAACCTATTTATATCCCTGACTGTAATTCTATATTTTCATGGCTTTCAGCAATATAGCTTCAGAACTGAAGCTTCTGATCTCTGAACTGGCTTTCTACTCAGTAGTATTCTAGTACCACAGATGCCTTGAATCTAACATTTCTCAAGCCTAAATCATTGTCTTATATTTGGTCCTTACCATTCTCCCATCAAAAAAATAAATAAAACAATGTGTCTTGCCTAGCATACTTTATAATGGTTAATGATGATTCTCCACTCAGTTTTCTAACCTATAAATCAAAAAAGCTAGTATATATTAGGCAGTTATGTACCAGGGTATGGTAACTGCTTTACATACTGAGTAACCAAGTTAATCCAAATCATTTTATATTTGCCTTCAACACACACAAACTCTGGGAACTTTCTTCTTGAGCACCTTCAAACACACACAAACTCTGGGAACATTCTTCTTGAGCATGCCTTCTCATTTTTATTTCTTTGCTAAGGTCCTTACTATCCTCCCTGTGCTAATAGTTCCTCTATTGGTACTGTGGTTTTCACTCTTAGGATTGCTGCCATATATGTTCCTGAAAACAATTTGTTCATCTGAGCTTTCTTCTCCTGGTCAGGCTCCTTGCATATGTGATATCTCTTTAAGAGCCTTTTTTGATTTGCCATGGCTGTAGCAGAGTACCTCAGCTGGTATGCCCAAGTTATTTATTCCCTCAGCATTCTGACCACTGGTCTTTTGCTGCTAGCAAACTTCTCCAGGAGCTTATATAAAATGGTATCTGCATTCTTTGATGGGAAAAAGGCTGGGAGAATCAGGTTCAAATTCCTTAGCTGGTCTTTCCAAGACCGTTTACAGTGTGTCCCCATCCTCTTTTGTAGCCTCATTTCTCAGTCATGTATCTCATGGCCTACCTGTGCTAAGTATACCATTCCATAATGTTATATTTGGCATGTCATGCCCTTTCATTCATAAATTTGAGCTGTTAATGTTTTTCTTCCTCTTAGACCTTTATATGCCATCTTCTCCAACCTTTCGTTTGTAAACTATTGATTATATAAGAAAAATCCCAGTTTCATTGCTTATTAAGCCTTAATATTTCTCACAGACTTGAGTTCTTTCTCATCTATATTCCTACAAAACATGTATCATATCTCTTATAACCCTTTTGTTATTTGTTGTATAGTGTATCGCTCTATATTTGCCTCTTGAACTAGATTTCAGACTTTTCAGGGTCCAGGATTTTGTCTTGTTTATTTTAGTAACTAGTATGTAGCACAGTGGCTGACCTACTATAAACATCTGAATGAAAAAAAGATAGCCAGGCCTGGTGGCTCATCTCTGTAATCCCAATGCTTTGCTAGGCAGAGGTGGGGCAGATCACTTGAGCCCAGGAGTTAAAGACCAGTCTGGGCAACATGACGAAACCCCCTCTCTACAAAAAATATAAAAATCACCTGGGTGTGGTGCCATGCGCTTATAGTCCCAGCTACTTGGGACGCTTAGGTGGGAGGATTTCTTGAGCCTGGGAGGTGGAGGTTGCAGTGAGTGGAGATCACACCACTGCACTCCAGCCTGGGTGACAGAGGGAGACCCTGTTTCAACAAAAAGGGATCAGGGGAATAGATGTGGAAACACTTGGGATGAGATTTTTTCAAAACTCTGAAGTTCTCTTGTTAGGAAAACAAGGAAGTGAGAGTGGAAGGTGAGAGCAGAAGTCCTACAACCATTTGTACATGAAGAAACATCTGCTGAGTTTTGACCAGACATTTATTTCATAAATGTTTATTAAGCTTTACTCTATGCCTTGCACTGTGCTAGGGTCTGAGCATTATGCAAGGAGAGGCTTGGTATATGCTCTCAGAATTTAGACAGGGAGACACATAGCTATTATATATAAAGTCTGAGGGAAGTGAGGAGTATATTGGAAATGAGATTCTATATATTAGTTTAGAAAGCAGTGGAAGTCAAAGTAGGAAGAGGGAAATGTATACATCAAAGAAGACAGAACATAAGCCTCTGGGAGTCAGCATGTAATGGTCTTCTATATCCTGATTTTGTCATCAGCGGCCATAAATTTTCTGTACACTCCCTCTTCATTTCTACCTTTTACTGTGTGTCCCACTTCTATCATGGCACATTTAGCAATTGCTTGCCAGGAAAATAATGGGCAACTACTTGGCCACAATGAAAACAAAGTTTTGAGTATCAGTAATCTAAAGTCACCTGAAGGTAACTTGCTTTCTTAAGCTCCCAGGATGTCAGGGAATGCATATGGAATTGTAGTCATGCAGTCTCTTGAAGCAAAAAGATGATAATCTGTGCATGTGCCATCTGCTGATCAGCTCTAAGAGCAGAGTTGAAAGAGGATAGTCCTTGGTTAGAGATTTTCCTCAGAAGCTCCCAACTATCCCCTTCACAGAAGAAGAGTTGCACAGCAGGGAGGTAGCAAAGAAAATACAATGACCAGACCAAGAGTAAGGCACAATGATACGAAGGGTTGTGATTGGGGTTGGGAGGATTGAAGGTTACGTCTTTTGCAGTTTCTGGGAAGGGAGCGAACTGTGGGTCCATGCTGCTGACTAGGACCAATCTCTGTCTCAGGTTGCCCTACCTCAAGTTGGTTCCTCTGTATGTATCGAAGACTTAGGGGAGTCCTGGGTCACAGGTACTGAATAGGGAAGGGGATTAACACTTTCTGGGTGTCTGCTATACATGAGGCTTTATCACTATTTTTTACTTTTATCACATTTTTTAAAATCTCATGCCAGTACAGTTATAAACATATGAATCTCTCAAGTAAGACAACTAAAGGCCAGATGTTTAATGCCTTGTCTAAGGTCACACAGCTAGTTAGTAGCAGAGCAAGGATTTTAATTCTGACTTCAGAGTTCATATTGCAGTCCGTCCCCGATTTCATCTAGATGCTGTCCTCTAGTTGAACTCAGAGATGCCTTGGGGTTAAAGTATGGATTCATTTTTCTTTGTCTTTTCCTACCCCTATGCCTTACAGGACTGACAGTGATAGGGAGAATTATTGTCCAGATGTGCCTTCTGGTTTTAGCAATCACTGTAGGATGGTAGTAGAATCATACTGGATCTGCCATTAGCTATAACTGTGTGACTGAGCAGAATAAAATAGTTCTCTACCATGGGTCTGTAGATCTGGATATACTTTCTGAATCTCTTGGGGGCACTAATTAAAATTCTTAGATTAACAGACCCAAGGCAGACCTACCAAATCCAAATCATCAGGGATAGGATTTAGGAGTCTCTTTTTTTTTTTTTTTTTTGAGACGGAATTTCACTCTTGTCACCCAGGCTGGAGTGCAATGGCGCGATCTCGGCTCACCGCAACCTCCGCCTCCTGGGTTCAGGCAATTCTCCTGCCTCAACCTCCTCAGTAGCTGGGATTACAGGCACGCGCCACCATGCCCAGCTAATGTTTTTGTATTTTTAGTAGAGATGGGGTTTCACCATGTTGACCAGGATGGTCTCGATCTCTTGACCTCCTGATCCACCCGCCTCGGCCTCCGAAAGTGCTGGGATTACAGGCTTGAGCCACTGCGCCCGGCCAGGAGTCTATTTTACAAGCTCTCTGGGGAATTTAATTCTCATGTGCGGTCAGGTTTAGAAAATGCTTGTTTTTAAAATCTGAGTCTTTCTATTAGGCAACCATTAACTGTTACTTAGGACTTACATTAATGTTAACTTTTGTTCTAAAGCAAACATAAAATTGAAGGTAAAAGTGACTTAAGCATTTTTTTAAATTTTGACTACTAAAAATGGTCTATAGGTTGATATACTTCAATAGAGAATGATTTTTATCTAAAATATCAGGTTTTATATGTTAATGAACACAGACTGATATTTTAGCTAGCATTCACTTAAAAGCATAATGAAAATGTTCTTTAGAATCCTTTCTGAAAATCCAAAATGTAAAATATCACAGGTTTTCACTAAAACTAGAGTTTTTAAAAAGTGAAGATACTCAAGAATGTTTTTTATTTTAGATATGTTCCAGAACAAAAAGAACAGAGATCCCAGTTTAAGAGGGGTTTCATGCAAGGGCATGTAAATCGACAAGAAAAAGAAGAAAAAGACACAATATATAAAGAACGTTGGCCAGATTATGTAAGGGAACTGCGAAGAAGGTAAGTTTATTTTGTTTGAAGGTGAGAAATCAGTGGCTAAATGACTAAAACAGAAAGCGGGGCCTGAGGGCATCTTCTTGAATCTGTACATACTTGAAGGAGAGCATTGTGACTCTCTTATTGCAGCTAAATACTGTGCTAATTTGACTTTTAAGCACTATTACCCTAGTAGTTCTCTCCTATCTGTAGATTATGTTCCTCCCTTTGCAGATTGAGTTAATTTTAAGCTTTTACAGCAAGTTAACAGAAAACTTGATTATTTCATGACTCTGTGTTTAACTTTGATAGGTATTCTTCAAGTACTGTAGATGTTATAGAAATGATGGATGATGATAAAGTTGATCTGAATTTGATTGTTGCCCTTATCCGATACATTGTTTTGGAAGAAGAGGTTAGTTTTATTTTTCTTTGTTCAGTTAACATAATTTTATCAATGTATCAAGACCATGAAACTACAATTTTCCTAAATGTTTATTAAATAGACCGGAAGAAATTACTTTTGATATTAGAAATCATCTTATAGTAGTGAAAGATTTAGGCATTTGACCTGTGGGAAGAAAAGATTAAAGAAATAAAATATCTGAATTATAAATCTCATTTTTTAAAAATGAGCTTAGCTGGGTGTGATGGCTCACATGTATAATCTCAGCACTCTAGGAGGCAGGCGGATCACCTGAGGTCAGGGGTTCAAGACCAGCCTGGCCAACATGGCAAAACACTGTCTCTACTAAAAATACAAAAATTAGCCAGGCGTGGTGGTGCAGGCCTGTAATTCCCCAGCTTCTTGGGAGGATGAGTATGAAAATCACTTGAACCCAGGAGGCAGATGTTGCAGTGATCTGAGATCATGCCATTGCACTCCAGCCTGGGTGACAAAGCAAGACTCTGTCTCAAAAACAACAATAATTTTTTAAAAATAGTAAAAGTAATGTTATATACTTTTAATTAACAAAAATTATCCTGAGCTAGTATAATTTTAATGGAGACTTAAGTGTGCACACAATTTTACTGTTACTGCATTTTGTCAAAGTGATCCTTTGTAATGGTTATTTCCCCTGCATATAGGATGGTGCGATACTGGTCTTTCTGCCAGGCTGGGACAATATCAGCACTTTACACGATCTCTTGATGTCACAAGTAATGTTTAAATCAGGTATTATGTAAATGTATTTTCCTGTAATTCCAAGGGTGGTATTTGAATTATATGTGGCAAGTGTATATTTTTTCCTTTAATTTGAAGAAGTGTTGCTTCTGAAGCTACCAAGTTCTGGGTCACAGACGAAGGTGAAGCTTTTTATTTAGTGTTATGATTTAATTTCCTTTCTTTTTCACAATTTGCCTAATAAAATTTGTTCTTAAAAAAGAGTTTAGGTATGTGGGGCTTTTCATTTTTTCACTCACTGCTGCAAAAAAGAAATCCGTTAGCTTAGTCTTTCTGAATTCTGAGTATATAACAGAATCACCCATGGAGCTTCTTTAAGATTCAAATACCTAGACCCCATCATCACCCTAAATCTAACAATGTGACCTGAACATCTGAAATTTTTACAAATTCCTCAGGTGATTTTGATCCTGTGTGAACAGCATGTTTTGAAAGATATAAACTCCAGAGGAATGAATAAGAGCATTTTTTTCTGTAAAGTTTGTAGTATTTTCAGTAATCATTAACTTCAAATATAAAAACTAAAAAGCAAATTCTATCTAGTTTTTACAGTTCTGAGAGTTTTTTGTTTTGAGACAAAGTCTCACTCTTTTGTCTAGGCTGGAGGTAGTGGTATCATCTCAGCTCATTGCAACCTCCGTCTCCTGTGTTCAAGCAGTTCTCTTACCTCAACCTCCAGAGTAGCTGGGATTACAGGCATGTGCCACCATACCTGGTGATTTTTTTGTGTTCTTAGTAAGGACGGGGTTTCACTCTGTTGGCCAGGCTGGTCTTGAACTCCAGACCAGAGGTGATCCACCCGCCTCAGCCTTCCGAAGTGGTGGGATTACAGTCTTGAACCACCATGCTTGGCTTCTGAATATAATTTCTAACCTCACTCTGTTGAAGTGCTTTTGACAAAATGTATTTTTATAGGTAGTAGAAAATATTTTGATCTAATTGTATTGACTAAAATAATAAAAGTATATTTTTATTTATTAAATCCTGTTGTCATGGCCTGAAAGCATTCTCTACAGTTATTTAGTATCTAGCTGGCAAAATATTTTGATCTAATTGACTTCTCTGTAGATAAATACTGTTTTTTCTTTTTGTGTGATAACTTTCCTCTATAGAAAAATTAGAGTCATGATTAGACAAGTGGATTTTTTTTTTTCAGTCAAGTAGTATTTTTTTATTGGCTAAATCTTCTAACTCTGGCCTTTCCTTCCTCCATCATAAACATTATTGAATAGTGTACTTATAATTTTAAAAAATATGTGTGCATATATTTACCAATAAAGTTAAGACATATGCCAAGATACAACATTATCATTTAGTATATGTGCTGGGGAGTGGGAAAAGGGTTTGATATTACAGTTATTATAATTGACTTCATTAACTTTCTAGTTTGAATTATTCTCAAGGAAAGAGTTACTAATGTATACTTCCACTACTAGCTCAGTTCCTTTTAAAGGAAATCTTTCCAAAACTTAAGTGTTTTTTCTCAAATTATGTTGAAAAAAGTTATTAGCCACTGTCACAGAGGAGAAAATTGGCCTAACTCTGAGCTGAGAAGTTAAGTTTCAAAACTCAATTTATTGAGTGCTTATCAATTTCGTGGTTTTTTTCTTTTCATAGGAGTGTAGATTTTGTTCTCATTAACTCTCTTAGTTGTACGGTGTCAGCAATATAAAATATTTTTCCCAATTATATGTCTTCAACAAAATTGTTTGTACTTTTATTATCCCTGGCTGCGAAGTTTTTTAGCTTTTTGTAATGAAACATTTGTAAACATACAAAAAACTAGAGAATCTTAATGAATACCATATATATATATATATATATATATATATATATATATATATCTCCATGACTTCAGTGCCAACAATTATTTTTTCAGTTCTAATTTTTTTTTAAGTCAATTGCAGCTTTCACATTTTATTTTTAAATACATAAGCAAGAATCTCTAAAGGCAATTATCTGTATAACCATAATATCTTTATCATACCTAATCTGTAATACCATTTTATAATCCAGTCTACAATCAGATTTTCCCATTTTCTGAAAAGCGTCTTTCACAGCTGGCCTGTTTAAACTACAGGTAATGTCAAACCAAATATATCTTTTGATCTAGCTCTAGAACATTGCTCCCCTCTACTCCCTGCTTTTCCTCATGGTAATAAGGTCATGGAAGAGACCAGGCCAACTCTAATAAGTGCAACTGTTTGGACTTGTCAGACTCTTTATATTAGCTATCATTTCATTTGATACTCTCTTAACTGTATTTCCTGTAACTTGGAAGTTATATCTGAAGGCTTGATTCAATTCAAGTGAAGTGTTTTTGGCTTGAATAATTATAGTTGATCTATTTCATGCTGTCACAGAGACAAGTAATTCAGAGCATCCTTTTTTAGCAACATCAGTTGCTTGGCAACTATTTACTACTTTTTATTTTTAAGATTCATAAAATTTTTTCACAATCAGAGACAGTCCTTGGGGAGCATCATATCTCTTCTACATGACAACAGTTCTTTTCTGGGGAAATATAGCTGACTTGAATCATTGGGGCATTTAAGTCAGATTGTATTTTTGTAACCATAGTTAAATGCACAATTAACCCTTGCTTTCTTAATACTCTTCCTTTCATCCATCACTGTATTACACCAGACTTTTTCTGTTGGCTAATAATCATGAATGGGCTTGAGCTATTTCATTTGGAAACTTAAAAAGTAGGAATTTCTTAGTTTTATTTTAAAATATGGGTTACTTTTGGACTATATTATTTTTAATGAGGACTATTTCATTATTTTCTAAGTAGGACATGGGGATTTAATAAGCAATTTACTCTAGAAATTTTGATGTTCCCAGTATGATTAAAATAGGATTGTCGGGTGCGGGGCTCCATGCCTATAATCTCTAACCCCAGTACTTTGGAAGGCTGAGGTGGGTGGATTGCATGAGCTCAGGAGTTGGAGACCAGCCTGAACAACATGGCAAAATACAAAAATTAGCTGGCCATTGTTGGGCATGCCTGTGGTCTCAGCTACTCGGGAGGCTGAGGTGGAAGGATCAGTGGAACCCAGGAGCAGAGGTTGTAGTGAGCAAAGATTACACCACTGCACTCCAGCCTGAGCAACAGAATGAGACCCTGTCTCAAAAAACAAAACAAAAGTATTGAGGATCACCCAAAGTGTACAAACGTATTTATGTTAAACAGAATTTTTGGCTGTTTATCCAATTATACCAATACCACTTTTATTGGTATAATTTGAAAAGATTACTCCCAACTTTTGAACATTCTTTAAGAATTTGGAGAAAATGCTTATCAATGTGAAATAAATTAACAAAATGTTGGCTTGAAGTTGGAACTCTCAGAAAAGAAGACTATAAAGAAATTAAGTTGGTCTGTTTGTGTGTAGAAATATAAATTAAGAATTGTGTGGTTCACTTAAACACATAGGTAATTTGTCAATAACTCAGATGATTTAGCTGTTTTCATTAAACAATGTTCAATGTCTTATCAAAAAAAAGAATTATATGGTTCAGCATCTGAATTCATTGTCTCATGTGTTTGATGGAGCTTTTCTGCAACTATTTTGAAATTTAATTCTCTTTTTAATTTTCAGATAAATTTTTAATTATACCTTTACATTCACTGATGCCTACAGTTAACCAGACACAGGTATGTTAAATGGATACATTTAACAAATGTATTCCTTCTGTTTTTCAAACTGAGGCAAGCTTTAAGGACTTCTCATCACGTATTTTCCTTTATTTTTTAAAGGAGTATTTTCAAATAGTAATTCATGTAAAATACACTTCTTTGACAGTCTTGCAAATGAGTCTTCAGGGGATGATTGTTCAAAAACTTGAATATCAGTGGGTAACCCACAAATGAGATTAGTTTTGTCTACATTAGGGAAAAGTTTAAAGAATTGTTTTCACCAATAACTTGGTTGGGTTTCCTGAATAAGAGAAAAAGGTATGTGAGTACTACTAAAAGTAACCAAACCTAGAAATTAATGATCTATGACATACTACAGTTTGATGATAATTTGAGATTTAATTTAATAAAATTAGTATATTCACAGGTATGAAATTTCTTGTTTTAATCATGTATTATGAATGTTTTGGTTCTGTCAGATACAGGCATTTTCCTAATTAGAATGAACACTGCATTCTCAGAGGCAAGATAATGTTATGAACGATAGTATTTGTAGGCCCTTGCAAAATGAAATTAATCAGAAAACCTGCTCCTTTTCCTGAAAAGTTTCACCTTTCTGAGATTTTTATAAGAAAATTTGTTATTTTTCTTTGAGACCCTTTTAGCATTTTTATTGCTGGTACCTAAGTCATGAATTAGATACAGAGCACATACCTGAGAGAAGAGGGGGCAAGAAAGAAAACTGTTGATTCCAAAGACTAAAAGAGTATCCATTGTGAAAGTATTCATCTTTAACACCATAACCTAGTAAATTTTATATATATATATACATATATATATATACACACATATGTATATATATATATATATATATATATATATATATATTTTTTTTTTTTTTTTTTTTTTTTTTCTTTCTGATTTGTTATGGGAATAGCCTGGGAAACATTTTTCTCTATTGATTACCAGTTTTATAAACAACAAAGTAAGTTTATGCTTTTTTTTTTTTTTCTTTTTTCCATTATTGCCAGTGGTCCTTGATTACCTATCTTTCTACTTTAGTGACATTGTCGGGGTTGTAGGATAGTATTTGTAGAATTCCCCATTTAAAAAGAATTCTTTTTTACTCCAATCTGATCTCAAGCTAGTACACAGTGGTTGGTACAGCTGCACAGTTGGCATTTATTCTAGTGGGTTGGACATCTGCCTGATTGTTCAGTATTCTTCCCCATGGAGGTTTGATTTCATAATTCTTGTCCTTAACATAAATATCCCTCCCTCTACTTTATAACCTCCAACTTTTGTTAAAAAACTGCTGTAAATTTAAATAATGATACCTCATTGGAAATGTTATTTGTAATAGGATTGTGACGTCTGTGGAAGATTTAGTTTGGTTTACCAAGAGAGTATTTTGTAGTATTCAAAATGATCTATACTTTATAAATACATTGATAAACATTAGATGTATCAGTGAATGAACATAGAATGCTAAAAATGAACAGTGAAGTAATTCCTCTAATTACAGAAATAATGTATTAGAAATTAGTGTATTTTTGTGATTCTGGTGTATTTATTTTTATAGGTGTTTAAAAGAACCCCTCCTGGTGTTCGGAAAATAGTAATTGCTACCAACATTGCAGAGACCAGGTAAAAATAGTTTTAAATATCAAATACTGATAATTATATAAGTTTTAAACACTACAAAGTATTTACATACCTTAATCTTTTTTCTATGTCAGATACCTTGTAATTTATTTAGAATAAGCCTTTTTTATGGCAGTGAGCATAGTTTTATTTTTTGTGGGCTTTTTTGAGACAAGGTCTCATTCTGTCACCCATGCTGGAGTGCAGCGGCATGATCATGACTCACTGCAGCCTTGACCTCCTCAGCTCAAGTGATCCTTCCACCTCAGCCTCCCATGTAGCTTGGACTATAGGCTTGTGCCACCATACCTGCCTGATTTTTTAAAATTTTTTGTAGAGATGGCATCTCACTTTGTTGCCCAGGCTGATCTCTAACTCCTGGGCTCAAAACAATCCTACTGCCTCAGCCTCCCAAAGTGCTGGGATTACAGGCATGAGTCACCATGCGTGGCCAGTTTTGTGGGTTTTTTTTTTTTGTTTTTTTTTTTTTGGTAACATATAGTAATGCTAGCTCAGAAATAACATTTTAAGTGTTGGGTTTTAAGTTTTCCTAAAGAAGCATGGGAACTAAGGTAAATATCCTTTTGCCTGATTCTGGTTGGGGGTAGTATTTGGTAATTAGTTACACCAGCCCTTAAATTTTCTTGTATTCTCTTAGAGGTACTAAGACATAGCTTGATCACTGAAACAGATTGTTTTGTTTTGTTTTTTCGAGACCCAGTCTTGCTCTGTCACCCAGGCTGTAGTGCAGTGGTGCGATCTCGGCTCACTACAACCTCCACCTGCTGAGTTCAAGCAATTCTCCTGTCTCAGCCTACCAAGTTGCTGGGATTACAGGCACCTCCCACTGCGCCCGGCTAATTTTTGTATTTTTCGTAGAGACAGGGTTTCACCATCTTGGCCAGGCTGGTCTCAAACTCCTGACCTCGTGATCCACCATCCTCAGCCTCCCAAAGTCCTAGGATTATAGGCATGAGCCACCGCGTCCGGTCTGAAACAGATTGTTTTATGGAAGCTGACATTAAACCATGCCATTGGGGATCCCATAGAGCTAGGTATGAGGCAACCTGTGATATTTGGCTGTAGGAAAGTAAGACTTTAGTATAATGATCTGAAGAACTAATACTGCGCTGTCACTTAAAACAGTGCCTGACACTGCCTACTGTTAGGTACCCAATCCCTGTGAGTGTGAAGAGTAGTGAAAATCATGAATGGCTAAAATCATTTGATGCAATTTTAAAAATGCTCTGAAATCCCTATCTATAGGTTCTTTATAGGTTAACAGTGCTTTTGACGTGTTTTTTTTTTTTAACATTTTATATATCTCTTTTCCAAACAGCATTACCATAGATGATGTCGTTTATGTGATAGATGGAGGAAAAATAAAAGAGACACATTTTGATACTCAGAACAATATCAGTACAATGTCCGCTGAGTGGGTTAGTCAAGCTAATGCCAAACAGAGGAAAGGTCGAGCTGGAAGGTAAGATGGGAACTCTGTCCAAAGCCTTTAGAACTCACAAAAATTTGGGGTAACAAAGTGTGATGCTGGCATTTAAAGATGTATTAGAAGAGTTACCTTTCATATTATTTTGAGCTCACTGCAAAACATTTTAAATAAGAAATTTGTTTTAATCATAGTTTGTTTGGAAAAGTATCTGCCCAGTTTTCTGTTTTATGAATCTTTTGCCTTTAATTTCTAAGTTTAGTAAATAAGTTATGTTACTTTTAATAGTTGGTTTTCATTTTTTTTAAGTGTATATTGCATAATAGTAATAGCAACTAATACATTATGAATGTCAGATCATCTCCTAAACTCTTGGTTCATACAAACTTTCTTAATCCTCACTACAGTACTGTGAGATAGGTTATTATATCCATTTTAAGGATAAGGAAATTAAGGTACAGGGAAATTACATGGCTTGTCTGAAGTCCCATAGCTTTCTAAATTACAGAGTCAGGATTTAAATCTAGGCATTCTGACTCCACAGTCTAACCTCCTAATCACTGGGTTTTATTGCAGTCCTGATTTTTCATCAGTAGTTATCAAAGCACAAGGAAGGTACTTTTCCTGATGTCACAATAGCTTAAGAATTAAAAATATCTCTTAATGATAGAAAAAATGATTTGTCTTGAACTTTTGCAAAGAATTGGACTTTAATGCATACTTCACAGTATTTCTACACTGTTCTTCACATGAGTGATAGAATCACATCTGGACTTGCAGAAATGGCTTTTTCTTTTGCCTCTTACAGTTAGAACAAGAGATTTCCGTTAATCTTTCGATACAGACTTAAGGAGAGGTGAAAGAAAACTTTACAGACCATTTATCGACCCCTCGTTTTAACTTTGTGCAATATCTATGAAGCTTTAACCTGCTGTAATCTTTGCACATTCTCTCAGTATAATTTGATTTCGAGACAGTTTATTACATAGTTGATGGTTTTGAACCAAAAGCATGGTTTAGTCAAAGAAGTATACCCTCCTGATAATCAGAGAGGGTTATCAGAGAATATCTTGATAAGGGACCCAGAAAGACTGAGGTTGTCCTATGTAGACCCAACACCTCTAAATATTGATCAGAAAGTATTCACCATAGTGAACAGGTTTTGGCACACCTTTATATATTTATAGTAAACATACTAAGCCTTAGATATGTTTCATGAAACAATAATAGAACTAGTTTAATGGAGTATTGCATTTTAACTAATCCTTTGTCCTCATTATTGTGGGGGAGGTTAACTGTGGAATTGGTGTTTTAATTTAAAAGGAAAATAGTCTTTTAGGCTCCATGGATAAAAATTTCTTTAGCAAAGCCTTATTATTTTGGAGATCAGAAAAAGCTATGCCGTATGGCTCTCAATAGAGGTACTCTTATTTTAGTGTTTATTGGAGAGATGTTCAGGTATATTATATAGTAGACATTGGGTCTTTATAGGCTTGTGGCAGAAATAGCTAAGATTTTTAGTATTCATTTTTATTCCTGTAGCAGCAAGAGCCTATAGAAATATTTATTCTGCTTGAGAATACGTGAATATGGTTACCTCTTCACATCTAGTCTTATCATGGTCCAAAAAATATCATTCAAGGCTCTAGTTACAAACATAAAACAAAAACATTTAGCATCCCTCTGAGAGCTCACTAATTAGAATATGCAGTACTTAAAATGTTTTTCAGTAATATACACAGGTTAGCATAATGCCAGGATTCATTACACAGTGTGATTGATCTCAAGGCATACTTGAGATTAGTGTTCTTAACCTTAATCTAGACTGCTGTTACTGAGCACAGTAATTTGGAATCTATCAGAAATAGGGAAGCAAATTATTGGCATGGGGAGGAATTATTGTATATCTTTCTTTTTTTTTTTTTTTTTTTTTTTTTTTGAGACGGAGTTTCACTCTTGTTACCCAGGCTGGAGTGCAATGGCCCAATCTCAGCTCACCGCAACCTCCGCCTCCTGGGTTCAGGCAATTCTCCTGCCTCAGCCTCCTGAGTAGCTGGGATTACAGGCGTGCGCCCTATGCCCAGCTAATTTTTTGTATTTTTAGTAGAGACGGGGTGTCACCATGTTGACCAGGATGGTCTTGATCTCTTGACCTCGTGATCCACCCGCCTCGGCCTCCCAAAGTGCTGGGATTACAGGCTTGAGCCACCGCACCCGGCCTGTATGTCTTTCTTAAAACTGTGACAAGAGGGTAGAGAGTTTAGGGTTTTTATAAACAGGGAGAAGAAATACATGATTCATAAAAAGGAAAAAATAATTATGTACATTAGCTATGATGTGGCTTATAAGAAATAGATATTGGCTACTTCCCTGCCTGCTATTTTCTCTGGAATTCTAAAATGTCATTGATGACTGTCCATCTTTGTTGTGTTTTTTTTCTGTTTTTTTTGTGTGTGTGTTTTTTTTTTTTTCAGAGTTCAACCTGGTCATTGTTATCATCTGTATAATGGTCTTAGAGCAAGTCTTCTAGATGACTATCAACTGCCAGAAATTTTGAGAACTCCTTTGGAAGAACTTTGTTTACAAATAAAGGTAAATTAGGTGGGAGAATGAAGAAACTAAATGGGAGTGATCTCATTTTCAACATCTTTTATAGAACAAAGTATTGTATTAATCTCCAGGAAATAATTATTATTAACTCACAATTTAGTTGTGTGTGCATTAGTAAATTGTGTATTTAAACTTCCTTCAAATGTATATTAAACAATTTTAAGTTATATGCTGCTCTAGAAGAGGCAGGCCGCCTATGTTTGGATCCTGCTTCCTCCCCAGAAAAGCTAGTGCTGTTACATTGATCAGGTTGATTAAATTAACCTCCTAGAATTCTTAGAGCAATGCCTGGCACGTAGTAATTGTTCAGTAAACATTAACTGCTGTTATTACATGTTAAAATGTCATCCTTCATTATAAACTACTTAATTTTTTTAATATCTTATATCTTTTGATATAGTTAACCTTACTTTGAAGATAGTGGGTAATCAACTTGTTAATTGAGATTTTAGCCAGCTACTTTTCCTATTAATAGAGTTGATGATAGAAGTAGTAATATATATAGGCCTTTCAACATGTTTTTATAGAAATACAGGTATGATTTTAATTCATTTAGGTAAAATAACTTGAAAATCATGTGTAAATTTGATGCTTTATTTGAGTTATCAGCCCAGGCAGGACTAAGTTGTTATGTTGATGTATTAATATTATATGTGTTTAATTATATTTGTCTTCCCCCCTAGATTTTAAGGCTAGGTGGAATTGCTTATTTTCTGAGTAGGTTAATGGATCCCCCATCAAATGAGGCAGTGTTACTCTCCATAAGACACCTGATGGAGCTGGTAAATTCATCTTCTTGTTGTTTTGTTTTTTTTTTAATTCTAACTTATATTTAGAATACTAGAGCATGTAAGCCAGTTAATTATATGTTTACTCTCATTACTGCAAAGTAGACCAGTAATATGCAGTGCCAAATTTGATTTGCTATTTGACTATCAATTTAGGACTATCAAGTTATGAGAAAGGCATTAGAAAGTTATAAAATGATACCTTTGTGATAATTCATAAAACACTAGGATCTTTCTGCACATTTTTTTTTTTTTCACTGTAGGCCTGATTTAAGGTTACACAAAATTTGACATTTTAAAGTTACTGGTCTTTAACTACTGGTGAACAGAACAAAAATGTGCAGCTGAATGATTTATCACAAAGGAAAGACTGTGTAGTAATTACTTATATCAAGAAGAACATTTCCAGTATGCTGAAAGCCCCCTTCCTAACCTTTCTCAATTACTCCACTGTCCTTTAATCCGAATGATAGCCTCTATCATGACTAATGGCTTGCTTTTTTTTTATTGGTGGTTTTAACATACAAGTATACATCTTCATAAAGAGTTCAGTTTTGCCTGTTTCGAACTTTACATGAACTTTACATGAGCCCATACAGAATGTGGATTGTTTTGTTCTTGGAGAGAACAGAGCTCTGGATTATTTCATTTAATATTATAAGATTCAAATGTATTGTTGCTTTTAGCTATGGTTTATTTGTCTTGGGTTTTTTTTTTTTTTTTCTTTTTCCTTTTTTTTTTTTTTCCTTTTTCCTTTTTTTTTTTTTTTTTTTTGAGAGAGAGTCTCACTTTGTCACCCAGGCTGGAGTGCAGTGGCGTCATCTCAGATCAATGTAACCTCCACCTCCTGGGTTCAAGCAATTCTCCTGCCCTAACCTCCAGAGTAGCTGGGACTACAGGTGTGTAGCACCACAACCAGATAATTTTGGGTATTTTTAGTAGGGTTTCGCCATGTTTGCCAGGCTGGTCTCGAACTCTTGGCCTCAAGTTATCCACCCGCCTCAGCCTCCCAAAGTGCTGGGATTATAGGCATGACTCACAGCACCAGGCCTATTTTCGTTTTAGCCTATTTTATGACCACTGAAAGACACTTTTGTTATTTACAATTTTGGGATATTACTTATCATGCTGGCATGAATATTCTTCAGTATTCAGTTTTTCCCAGTGCACTGGATTATAAGGTACATCTATGAACAAGTTGGGTAGATAACACCCAACAGTTTTTCAAAGTTGCAGACCACTTAAACTCCTACCAGTGGTAGATGAGAGTTCCCATTGCTTTGTGGCTTCACCAATCCTTGGGATTAATCGGCCTTTTATTCTAACCATGCTAGTAGGTATGTAGTGATTTTAATTTTCATTTCTCTGACTATTGTTGAATTTTTCAGCAGCTTTTATATGTTTATTATTCATTTGTATAGTCTCTTATAAATTGCTGGTGTCTGTTTTTCTGTTAGATCATCACATTCCTTATGTACTCTTGATCTAAACCTTTTATTGGTTGTATATTGCATATCTGTTTTCAACTTTCCTTTTTTTAACACCTTGATAAACAATTTTTGTTGTTGTTCAAAGAGAGAGACTCTCACTCTGTCACGCAGGCTGGAGTGCTGTGGCGTAATCTCAGCTTACTGCAACCTTCACCTCCCAGGTTCAAGCTTTTCTCCTACCTCAGCCTCCCAAGTGGCTAGGATTTCAGGTGCCTGCCACCATGCCTGGCTAATTTTTGCACTTTTAGTAGAGATGGGGTTTCACCGTGTTGGCCAGGCTGGTCTGGAACTACTGACCTCAAGTGATCCACCCGCTTCAGCCTCCCAAAGTGTTGAGATTACAGGCGTGAGCCACCACTCCTAGCCTAAATTCCTAATTTTAATGCAGTCGAATATATCAGTCTCAAAGGTGATTGCTTTTTGCCCTTTAATAAGTCTTTTCCTGAGGTCATAAATATACATTTTAAAACATTTTATTGTTTTTGTTTATAATGCATCTGCAGTTGACGTGTGTTGGGGTTGAGGTAAAAATAGAAGTTTTTACATATGTAGAGCATTGACTGAGTACCATTTATAGAAAAGTTCATCTCTTTTTTCTTGTTCTGCAGTCTTTGGTAGGTCAAGGTCTGTGGATTTGTGTATCTGTTTCTAGGCATATTTCTCATCTGTTGGCCTGTATTTCTCTCCTCAGCTGGTATCACATTGTCTTATTACTCTAGCTTTATGATAAATCTTGCTTTCTTGTAGAACAAATCACTCCCTTTCATTCTTTTTAAGAATACCTTGACTCTTGAGGATTGCATGAGCCCGGGAGTTTGAGGGTTGCAGTAAGCTGTTCTTGTGCCACTGCTCTATCCCGGATGACAGAACAAGACCCTATCTCTAAAAAATAAAAAAAATAATAATAATAGTAAATTATTTTTTAAACAGAGTGTCTTGACCCTTTCTGGTGCTTTATTTTTCCAAATACATTTGAGAATCTTGAGAGTTTGATTTTGATTGAATTCAGTTTATAAATCAGTTGGAGGAGAACTGACATCTTCACAGTATAGAGTCTTAACAAAAGGATCATCATCTATTCCTCTGTTTATTTGGGCATTCAGTCTCAGTATTTTAGAGTTTTCTTTGTTTTGGTTTTATTTGTCTTTATTTAGATGTTTTAAAATTTAAAATAATTTAGATTTCAAATATTTAAAAGCAGAATCCAAAAATACCACCAGTCTTCTAGGTTAGCGGTTATTTTTGGATTCTGCTTTTAAATATTTTATCTTTCGCTTCTGATAATACAGAAATAAAGTTGCTTTTTGAATACTGACTTGTATTCATTAATGCTGTAAAGTCCCCTTATTTGAATAACTTCTGATTTTTTTTTGCATATACTGTCACATTTTTAAATAATTACAATTTTATTTATTCTTTTTCAAGTCTCTGGGACTCTTAATACAGTGTTGAGCAGAAGTGATATGATGGTGTGTATTCTTGTTTTGTTCTTCTGAAAGGAAAAAACATCAGCAAGTCATTGAGAGTATAATGTTTGTTGATTTGTTGTGTGTGTGTAAGCTCTTATTACGTTAAGTTTACTAAGAAATTTTTATCCCGTATGGATGATCAGTTTTATCAACTGTCTTCTGCTTCTGATGAGATTATAGTATGACTTCTTTAGTTGGTACATGTATTCAGTTACACTGATGTTTCAAATATTAAATAAATTTTTATTCTTGGAGTGAACCTAACTTGCTAGCATTCAATTTGCCATTATTTTGTTTTTTTTTAATTTTCGTATTTATTTACTTTTCTTCAGATGTCCTTGTAAAATTTAGACATCAAGGTCTTCTAGATTCTGAAAACAAATTGAGTTTTATGGTTTTTTTCCTTTTCTCTAAAAGAGGTCTTTAAAAAATAATAATAATAAGGGTTTTTTCTCCAAAAATGTCCCATCAGACATTTTTTGGAGAAAATACCCTTATTATTATGATTATTTTTTTTTAAGATCTCTTTTAGAGAAAAGGAAAAATCTGTGTCTGATGGGATGCTTATGGGTTCTTTTATTATTTTTTCTCATTTGCCTCTGTATGCCTAGTTATTTTAATTGTGCACTGGAAATTCTGTTTACAAAATTCTTCGTAGATAAAAATTTGAAGCTTGGGATGAGATTAGCTTTTATCAGCAAGGATTTAATGTTCCTTTCTGCCAGGAAAAGAGGCCCCAAACTTTACACTCACCTCCCTAGATGTCTGTCATTCCCTAACCCCTTAACTTGTAATTCTTTGTTATCTCCATGGTATCTTCAGACTACTTTTCTAGCTATCCACAGTGGGTTGGTTGGACCAGATGACCTAGGGAATCAGCAGAAGTCACTCTCATTTTCTACAGTTTTAAATGTGTACTTTTTCTTTTGCTTTTCTGTCTCATGTCACCTAAACTACTGGAACCTAGAGAGTATGCATTATTCATTCTAAATGCATAATAGTGTGTCTTTTGTTTTTGTTGTTTTTTCCTACAACTTTTATACTTTATTAGGTGATTTTATTTATTTAACTGAAAGTTTGTCATTTCTGATATTTCTTAACACAGAAAAGCCAAGTCGTACATTAATTTTGGTTTTGTTTAAATAAGTTTGTAACCTTTGCTGACCTCACAATTTATGTTTTGGTAGAGAAAAACCAAGCTAAACAGTATTCAGGCATTTGGGCTTAGCAGAGAGAATAGTGAGTTGTTATTCTTTTTAAAGCAAGCTGAAATTGTTTTAAATGTAATGCTCTACAGGGTCTGTTTTAAACCCACACTCTTTTTTTTTACAGAATGCTTTGGATAAACAGGAAGAATTGACACCTCTTGGAGTCCACTTGGCACGATTACCCGTTGAGCCACATATAGGAAAAATGATTCTTTTTGGAGCTCTGTTCTGCTGCTTAGACCCAGTACTCACTATTGCTGCTAGTCTCAGTTTCAAAGATCCATTTGTCATTCCATTGGTAAGAAAAATGGAAATAAAACTTAGTTATTTTAGATATGAACAGGAGTTGCTTAGATATATTTTTTAGTAACGTTTTATTAGAATGCTGTTCTCTGTTGTAGCATCAGAGCAATTTAAATTGCCTATGTCTACTGTTTTTTAAGGGAAAAGAAAAGATTGCAGATGCAAGAAGAAAGGAATTGGCAAAGGATACTAGAAGTGATCACTTAACAGTTGTGAATGCATTTAAGGTAAAAAAAAAAAAAAATACCTTGTTCTGGATTATGACAGTTTATACAAGTGAAATGCAAATAATAGAATAAGAGCATATTTAACCTTTTGAAATCTATATTATCATAAAGCCGGGCATGGTGGCTCACGCCTGTAATTCTAGCACTTTGGGAGGCTGAGGGAGGTGGATCACCTAAGGTCAGGAGATCGAGACCAGGCTGGCTAACATGGCAAAACCCTGACTCTACTATAAATAGAAAAATTAGTGGGCATGGTGACGGGTGCCTGTAATCCCAGCCATTCGGAGGCTGAGGTAGAAGAATAGGTTGAACCTTGGGTGCGTGGAGGTTGCATTGAGCTGAAATCATGCCACTGCACTCCAGCCTGGGTAACAGTGAGACTCCATCTCTAAAGAAACAGAAAAACAAAAGCTGTATTATCATAAGTATCAGGAGTAAATTGCTGAGAATGTTTAAATTTAGTGAACATTTGAAAAAAGTTATAATTCATTTTCAATTTTGTAATAGCTCATTGCATTTACCGTTTTGGGGAAATAGTGGTTTTTGGTAACAATGAACAAATGCTTTATTTTAAAATTTTGTATTTAATAATTTCCTTGTATCTTTGGCTTATTAACACTCCTGACACTCTCTTTATTATTAATAAGCTACCCTGTATTCAGATTTAGCATGTAATAGAGGATCATAATCATCTACATAATTAAGATTAGGGAGACATTTTCTGCTCCCACAAGCCAGGTGTATAGGTGTACATTTATCACCTATCTTGGTAAAATTTAAATGTAATTTGGTTTTTAGAAGCAGTATCTTTTTTCTCTAGCTCTACATTCTGTTTCGTATGGCATATTATGGGAAAGTTCATGTTTTTTTCTTTGAGCTTAGTCACTTTGTCTTTCCTTTTTCCCCATTTCCCTCCTCTAAAGAAAAGCAAACTGTAACGAAAATTTGTGAATTTGAAAATCTGTAACAGCATTTAAGTCAGTTTGATAGTGTGCTCTTTTTGATTAGTGTATTATGTACAGTTTGGATGCCATTTTGTGTAAAATACATAAATAATATATTACTGTATATACTTAATTGTATAAAGCTTTGGAACTTTAGTGGCAGTTATCTCTTAAGGACTAGGATCATGGGAAGCATATGTGTTTTTAGTTTTTCAATTATAAAATTCTTTGAATTTTTTACAAAGAAAAATATTAGAAAAAGGTTAAGCTTTCACTAAAAGAGGGAAACCAACAGTAATCTTGGTCTTGGGGAACAAATAGATTCTTCATTTCTTTGCCCTATAGGGCTGGGAAGAAGCTAGGCGACGTGGTTTCAGATACGAAAAGGATTATTGCTGGGAATATTTTCTGTCTTCAAACACACTGCAGGTAATGGTGAATGTTTTGCAATAACTATCATATATGCTAGATTAGAGAATATATGTATCCATTTTGTACAGTTAGATCTATAGCAAAAAGTCAAATAGATAGAAATTGTGAATATTTGTATATCCACACAAAATAATGGGGGATCGTTCTTAAATCAACTGCAACAGAACAAGTAAAGGTGTATAACAACATAAGATAAACCTAACGGCAGAGAAAAGAAACCCCAGTTCGAGTATAACAGCAAAGCACAGTAAGATTCAATTTCTGTTCCTATTCCCACATTCTGGTTGCCATTTTGATTATTTCAACTGAGAATTTTCGCCAACACTCCTAAAATCTGTTGAAAAGTATCCAATAGGATGGCTATCTGTAAGTTTTCTGGTTTAGTATAGTGAAACACTGCAGGCAAGAATTTGTAAAACAGAACAAAATAAAGAGGGCATGCCATCACATTTCAGACTACACTGAACTAGAGATTTGAAGCCAATGGGAATAGAAATATCCTCATATTCTGCCAGTACACATACACTCCAGCTATGTGACATGAACCCTGATACTGGACCTTTAACAAATCTACAAAGTAGTAAACAAAAAAATCTAAGATACCAAATCAGAAGTGCCCAGTCACTAGCAAAATGGAAAAAAAAGGATCACCACAATTCTGAAAGAAAAGAAAAAAAAAAGAATGGAATACTGTGTTTCAATAGAAAACACCTTACAACTGTTTCATAATACGGAATAGCTAATAAGAATGTGAATTCAGCAAAACAAAGGTTAGAAAATAAACCAATAGAGTGAATGAAAAGACTCCTGAGCTAAGAAAACAAATTGAAGATCAAAAGAAAATCACAAAAAATAGAATGGACCTTCCTTAAAAACACATTATTGCCATAGGAAAAAAGCTTGAAGTAATCAGTTCATGGATGTACCTGAAAAAAGAAGAAAATTAAAGCAGTAAGTAAAATCTTAAAGACAACAAGATAGGACTGACCCATCACGAGAACAGTAGATATTAGTGTCTGCATAGAAATCCTGTGTAATTGAATGTTTATTTAGAGACATATATAAAAAAATTTCTTTGAAATGGAAAAAATGAAATGAGCAGAAGTATGAAAAGGTAACTGAATCGAAGTGTTTGAGAATGTCATGTCCTGTCAGGATATGAATTCAAGTATAAAGAAAAACAAGCATTCAACAACATGCTCAAGAAATACTATACCCCTGAGCTCTTCTTGAAATGCCCATCAATGGTGAGATGCTGTTAATTAAAAGGGAGACCACAGTGGAGATTTCAAGAATGGAAAGTGCATGCTAAATCAGTTGGTTGAATACTTTAGAATTATTTAAATATAGAGCTAATAAAATGGTGGTAGGAATTATACGTGCAAAATAGAATATAAAGATTATTATCCTGAACAATATAAAATAATGGCAGTAAAAACCAGGAGATGTCTAAAAAAGTTAGGTGTAATGAAAATTAGGTGAGGAAACCAAAGTCACATCTTTCATACAAGGGATATATACTTAAATATAACCAACTTTATGTTGCATAATATCTAATAGGAATTCCTTAGGAAATGTTTCTTGTGGTTATGAAAATTTAAGATTCATATGGTCATTCACTTTCATTTCTATTTAACTTTACTTTAAATTGAACTAAAGTTAATAGCTATTATTTTATTAATAAAATTAATTATTTCTGTATTATGATTCCATTACTAGGATACATTTCTTCTATTAGTATATATGCTTAGTGGGTGTCTGCAATCTTGTTTGCAGACAAGATTGGAGTAATCCTTATGGAGTATTACTCCAAATGGAGTAATCCTTAAACATCAGTGGTTATTCCTTACAGCATGCAAACTTTTTCTGTGAACAGTCAGGTAATATTTTAGGCGTACAGGCCATATGATCTCAATTACAAGTTATGACCTCTGCCATTGCAGTGCAAAAAGAGCCACATGTAGATGAATGGGTATGGCTGTGTTCCAGTAAAATTTTATTGACAAAAACAGCTTTTGTAGTTTGCCAACCCTACTTTAAGACACGTTTGCAAAAGTGTTTGCATAAAACAGGGATAGCTTACAAGTCAATTTATGTATTAGTGTATATTTGATATCCGCAATGTGTGAGAGGTATTCTAGTTCTATTTGCTACCATTCCTCCCTAGATGCTGCATAATATGAAAGGACAGTTTGCTGAGCATCTTCTTGGAGCTGGATTTGTAAGCAGTAGAAATCCTAAAGATCCAGAGTCTAATATAAATTCAGGTAAAGCAGAAAACGCAGTGTAAATAAGTATCTTTTGTCTGTTGTATCAGTATTTTACTTTTTTCCCTCTACCTTCTCACCTCCCATAGATAATGAGAAGATAATTAAAGCTGTCATCTGTGCCGGTTTATATCCCAAAGTTGCTAAAATTCGACTAAATTTGGGTAAAAAAAGAAAAATGTAAGCATTGAAGATTATTATGAATTACTTGTAATTCTCTCCTTAAACTTTTGAAATCCTCTTATGTAACCAGGCTTATATTATAAATGTGTTCTTTTATGTTGGCTATATTCTTATTCTTTTAATCATTTCAAAGAAGGTAAACTGTGTTCAACAGTGGTATTATTTTCCCTCACAACACATCCTGGAATTGTTTCTCTGATCACCCATTATTCACAAAGAACGCTACAACATGATACCAATGTAGATATTAGAAAAGCCAGCCTGCTAATAAATACCAGTGCCTGGATAGAGATTGCTTAGAGTAGATTTTGTTTCAGAAATTTTTTCCTCTTATAAAATGGATAACTTAGCTCTTTGAATAAAATTGTAATTTCACAATTTTGAGAAGTAAAGTATAATAATGTATATACAGGTAGTCTTTAGTAGTAAGTGGAGACAACAGTGAAGATGAGCTAGAATGAGCTCATTCTAGCTAAAGGATACAGAGAAACTCAGAGTCACAAATGACCAATAGTATGATTGCTACTATTTTGGAAGGCACTCTGGATTAGAATTATGTATTGAGTCATTAAAATAGTCACTGACCCAGTGCATGGATGAGTGAGTTTTTAATTTGATAGATGTGTCTTAAGGAAGTAATTTCAAATGTTTTCTAACAGCTATATTGTAAACAATATAGATCTTTAGTAGCAATGGAGAAATTGCAGTTTTATAATGCTATAATGCATCTCCATAGGTGGGCATTAAAATTTATGGTGTAGTACCATGTAAAATATTTAAACTGATGTTAAATGAAAGTTGGCATTCTGTGATTATGAACAGGAAAAAAAATAGACTTTAAAGATAGACCAAAGTGCAGACATTGTTCTTGGGCAATGATTGGCAACTGGGGTGATTTTGCCCCCAAAGGGGACATTTGGCAGTGTCTAGAGATACTTGTGGTTGTTATAACAGTGTGTCAATAGTACTAAAGTCAAGAAACCCTATTCCAAGTACACAGGTAATGGGTAACTGATTAATTGTAATCATTGTGGTTGTATTAACGTTTTAAGTGATCTAAGTAACTTTTTCAAAATCAGTATTTGGCCATTTTTTTTTTTTTTTAATGTGTACCTAACTTTACAGGTAGCTTAACACAGAGTCTCTGAAATTCATTTTATTTTCCTCCCTGCCATCCTGGGAGGGCTTTATGAAAAAATGTAGTTTTCTTTGGACTGATGCTTTGTTTTGGTCCAGACTAGGAGTCAGCAAATTTTGACCTATAGGCCAAAAACTTGTTTTTGTACATTTTTTTGTTGAAACACATGCATGCCCATTTCTTTTTTCATGTTGTCTATTCTGCTTTCCTTCTACACGAGCAGAGTTAAATGTTTGTGACAGAAATTATAGAGCCCCAAATATAGACCCTAAAATATTAACTATCTGGTTCTGTATGAAAATTTGTTGGGCCAGGACAGTGGCTCACTCCTGTAATCCTAGCACTTTAGGAAGCTGAAGCTGGCAGATCACTTGAGCCCAGGAGGCAGAGGTTGCAGTGAGTCAGGATTGCACCACTGTATAGTGAGAGGAGATCATGCTACTGCAGTCCAGCCTGTCTCAAAAAAAAAAAAAAAAAAAAAAAATTGCCAGCTTTTGCTCTAGATATGCAGGGTTGCAAGATGGCATTGGTAAATTGACTTGAAGTGAGAAAAAATAATTTCTGGTTTATTTATTTATATATGCATATTCTAAGTATTCATAACTGATTCATGATTTTGGTACAAGTATTATGAATTCTTAGAACTTCAAAAGTGGCCAGGCATGGTGGCTCACACCTATAATCCTAGCACTTTGGGAGGCTGAGGTGGGTGGATCACCTGAGGTCAGGACTTTGAGACCAGCCTGGCCAACCTGGTGAAACCCCATCGCTACTAAAAATGCAAGAATTAGCCGGGCATGGTGGTAATGCATATCTGTAATCCCAGTTGCCTGGGAGGCTGAGGTAAGAGAATCTCTGGAACCTCAGAGGCGGAGGCTGTAGTGAGCTGAGATGAGGCCACTGCACTCCAGTCTGTAGTCTGGGTTACAGAGGGAGACTCCGCTCAAAAAAAAAAAAAAAAAAACTTCAAAAGAGACACTCCTAAAAACAAATAGGAAACATTAGTGAATTATTAGCTTTTATGCTTTTATTTAATATAGGTAATTAACTATTTAAAATAAATTATTAAACATCTCCCTGTTGAATAATATTAAAGACTTTTATGAATTGAGATAAAATGTATATGACTATTCAAAAAAAAAAAAAAAAAAAAGACCTAGGACTTGTGAGATTGAATTAGAACTGTCAACATGAATTTAAACAGAATTCTTAACTTTTATTTTTTATTCATCTGTAAAATTTTTAAGTTGAAATTTTACAGAGTTATTTTGTAAATCAAGGGCTATTTATCTATATCATGATTGTCATAGTAAAATGTATAGATTCTTCTCTTGGTATGAATCACTTAAGTTACTTTATATATTGTTTTGTTATTTATTCTTCAGTGGTATAGTGTACGTTAACATTATTAAGGAAAATAATATTCTGTCAGTTTTCTCATATATTGAGTAATTATAACTGCAAGAAGATTAGTTACATGATTTAAAGTATTCATACTTGATAGCATTTTTTCATATATTTTTAAGAAAATTATGCTCTGTCCTCAAGTATAAATTTTTTTTTTTGCAAAAATAAGCTGAATTATTCTCTGGAGTTTTTTTTTATATTCCGGGATTTGTTTGGATTTTACCAAGCCCTTCTATCAGTTTTTTAAGTAGTGTAAAAAAAAATTCTCTGGGAGACTTCTTTTTAACAAACTGCATTTTAATTCTTTTAAAGGGTAAAAGTTTACACAAAAACCGATGGACTGGTTGCTGTTCATCCTAAATCTGTTAATGTGGAGCAAACAGACTTTCACTACAACTGGCTTATCTATCACCTAAAGATGAGAACAAGCAGTGTAAGTGAACATTTAAAATAATTAAGGATCTGATTATCAGTCTCATTGTATTTTTATGATTGTATAGTTTTAACAATTACATACAAAATTTTTCTTTTTTGTTGCCTCTTACTCCTGTGACATGAGTAACTTTTTCCCTCAAACAACTTAATACTTTTTATTTTCAGGTCTGTAATGATGGATCTTTGTATTTTAATTAGGACACTTACTTGATTTGCATGATTTTCTTTCAGAACTTGCTTTCAAGAAATATTTGTATATTTTATAGGGTACAGGAGTTTATATTGTGTAGTGAATATTGTTAGCATGTCAGTATACCTTATAAGTATTGTTCAGCATATGGAGATTCTGTTTATATTTTTTTCTTTAGAACAATAGTTTGAGATGATTTATAAAAAACTGTAAAAATAACCAGCTACATTAATGTTTTGGTTTTGTCACTCAGAAAATACCTTGTTCAAAGAGTAGTGCTTAGTTTGAAGCAAAAATAGAAGATACTTATGATCTCTGAATAAAGAAGATGGCTCATTTAAAATGGTATTTCTTACAAATTAATCTCTGTAATTACAATAGCAGGTGAATAAATATTTTAGAAGGGAGGTAATCATTAATTAATATGGTTGAATTTATGTAGTCATCTTTTCAGACTCCAGAGAGTATTAATTCACTTAATTTTTATTACAGATATACTTGTATGACTGCACAGAGATTTCCCCATACTGTCTCTTGTTCTTTGGAGGTGATATTTCCATCCAGAAGGATAATGATCAGGAAACTATTGCTGTAGATGAGTGGATTATATTTCAGTCTCCAGCAAGAATTGCCCATCTTGTTAAGGTGACTGACTTTATGGAATTATCTTTAATCTACATGTTAGCATGTGGTCATGTGGTTTGGTTCCAAATGTTTATATATATTAACATTTCTTGCTCTATTTCAGCAGGGCAAATAATTTTGAAAAAAATGATTCCTGGTTTTTCTGAATTGTTTTTAGAGATGGTAACAAACCAGCCATTCTGAATGGCTCAGTGTGATTGCAGTGTGAATTTTAATTGCACTTCAGTTGTTCACTTACAACCACACTTTAGTTGATTGCTCACTAAATATTTTAGCTTTTGAGCCATTGCTTGTGAAACTCCATGTATCAGGTAAATCAGTTTCATTTATTATGTTATTTGATAATATATCTGCCTTTGTTGAACATGTGTAATTTTTTCAACCTTAGGAATTAAGAAAGGAACTAGATATTCTTCTGCAAGAGAAAATTGAAAGTCCTCATCCTGTAGACTGGAATGACACTAAATCCAGAGACTGTGCAGTACTGTCAGCTATTATAGACTTGATCAAAACACAGGAAAAGGCAACTCCCAGGAACTTTCCACCACGATTCCAGGATGGATATTACAGCTGACAACTTTTCAGGGGTGGTCTGAAAAGCCAATTTGACAGCCATTCTCCATCATAGTTTAAATTTTGGCTGGATGCCAAACACTGGGACATGACTAGTTTTCATGTGTAAGATAGAAACCTTCAGTAGGTAGTAAAGACAATGTGCATGACTTGATGTTATATGGAGCTATTTTATATATATACTTAAATAGACTATAAAAGCAATATGTTCTCTGATCATACACTCTACTGTGGTCATGCCCACTCTTTGGGAGTATATTCCCTTTATATATATTGAGTATTGTACCACTTGAGAAATTCCTTTGTTCTGTTGTACACAATTAATCTTTTTGCTCATAATGACTGATGATACCACCAGTAAAAATAGAATGTTCAGCCAAAAAGCAGTGTCAAGTAAGAATTTGAACACAGCCACATTTTTTTAAGTGAAACTTCTATCGGAAGTAAATTAATTTGTTGTAATACAGCCCAGTATTTAATAAAATGTAGCATGTTAAATCTCAGCCAACTTCTTGGATTGGTTTCTACATTTCCATCTTTGGCTTGGTTGATTTGATATTTTTACTATTTTTAAAACTTGTACCCTTTTTGCATCACCCTGTGCAGCATAATACAGCAGTTGAGAGCATGAGTCTCTCAATGGAGAGCAGTTCCAGTCTCAGGTCTGTCACTTAGTCAATGTCTTGGCTTCTCTTTTTCCTTATCTGTAATATACAGTTGACCCTCCATATCCGTGCATTCTACATCTGTGGATTCAAGCAACCATGGATAGAAGGTATTTGGAAAAAAGAAATGAATGGTTGTATCTGTACTGAACATGTGCAGACCTTTTTTCCTTGTTATTCCTGAACAATTCAGTTTTAACAGCTATTTATGTAGTATTTACATTGTATTAGTTATTATAAATAATCTAAAGTATACGGGAGGATATTCATAGGTAACATGCAAATACTATGCCATTTATATAAAGGACTTGAGCATCCATGGATTTTGATATTTGAGGGGTAGAAGTTGGAAACCAGTCTCCCACAGATACTGAGGGATGACTGTACAGGTAACAGTTGTGAGGATGAAATACATTAATGCATGTAAAGCACATAGGTTAGCTAGTGCCTGTACTCTCTGAATCTTAGTTGTTATTTGTCCCTGAAATATTTTTGTAATGTCTACCCTTTTTTGTTATTGCTACTTACCTTCTTAGCCAAGGCAGGTAGTGTAACAACACATGCTTTATATTTTCAGCCCTATCAGATTGTGTTAAATACTGTTGATTGCCGGCCAGCAACCATTTTGTCCTTCACTTCTTGCTTGCTTATTCAGGTGTTCCCGTCCTCACAGCTTTTGTGCCCAGATATGTTGGACCCTTTCCCCAAGAGTGCATCTTGCTGTTCTAAGCTTATCACATGTGGTCTTATCCTCCTTATGAATAATTGATAAAGCATGAGTACATAAACATGTCCTAGTGATCTTCAAGGGGCTGTCTCAGAAATGTTTTACTCACTAATAGACTTGGAGGAGAAAATCCTGCTCTCTCTGGACATTGTCTTGTCTGACTCTGATAGTTGGAACTGCTGCAGCCAACTAATGATCACAAGGGAACACGGACTCATAGACTGAGGTTGGCTCAGTGGAAAGATGGAACTCACCAGAGTCTTTGATGATGCTGGTAAGCTTCAGAATTAACCCATTGTAGAACTGTTCTACATGTGGACTTATTTTGATATAATAACCCTTCAATCGTTTAAGCCACTTAATAGGTTATTGTTAGTTTTTTGCTGGTTTTGTTGTTTTGTTGTTGTTTTATGTTTGGAGACGGTGTCTTGCCCTGTCACCCTGGCTGGAGTGCAGTGGTGTGATCGTGGTTCACTGCAGCCTTCACCTCCTGGGTTCAAGTGATCCTCCTGCCTCAGCTTCCTGAGTAGCTAGGACTACAGGTGTGCACCACCACACCCAGATAATTTCTGTATTTTTTGTAGAGACAGGATTTCACCATGTTGCCCAGGCTGGTCTCGAACTCCTGGGCTCAAGCGATCTACTCACCTCAGCTTCTCAAAGTACTGGCATTACAGGGATGAGCCACTGCGCCCAGCCCCTAGTAGGGTATTTTTAACCTGTTAAAAAGGATATTAATCTGAAACATACATTCTCCGTCACTGAGTATTATACTATTGATTTTGCAGTGTAAGAGTTTTAAACTATATGTCTGACAGAAGGTATAAAAGTGCTGGACATGCTGCAGAAAGAAAAAGGAAAAGCATTTTGCTGCACTCTAAAAAATGCAGATTTTAATGTGCCTTCCAATAAATGCAAGGAAACCAAAGGAGTTAGAGTATCATACAATGACTGGGATGTATTGATAATGCTACAGTGATACGTTAACAGCACTTGTTTGGGTACTGCTCCCAATCCTGGGAATGTACATAACCTGTTATGTCCCAAGTCCATTATCTTGGCTGGTCTTCTAAAAGTGATCTGTCTCTCACTGAATTCTGGCCTTAGAGTCATGTCACAATATTATAGTACACTGGATTTGCCTCTAAAGTTGAGGTGACCATCTAGCCTTTCTTGCTCTGTAAGAAAGTTTATGTTTGTGCTTTTTTTCCCCTTGCTTTGATTATCCAGTTTAAATAGAGTCAGTTGGCCAAAATGGTCTTGGAAGAAAGGATTTAGAGATTCTGTAAAAAAGATTGTTATTTGGTTCTGTGTTTGCAAACCAATATTTAATTCTCATATGAATGTGAAAAATGTTCTGGAGGAATTAATTAATGAGGTGTTCACAGAGATTAAAGCAGTTATTGTTACCTACAATTTCTGTCTTCTGTACAGCTGATCAGGATGGAAATTTTAATCCAAGGTGCTACTTACATTCTGTTTCTTTAGTTTACAAAATAGGGCATTATTGAGTAGAAAATAGGTCTAAGAACTGTTTGTTCTTTTGTGGTTTTAAAGAATAAGATATTAAGGAAAATCTGTTTGTTTCATCATTTTGAGCAATACAGAGAATAACTCTTGAAAAAAAGAAACCTGAAACAGAAACTTAGCAGAAAAAAAGCAAAAGAAATAAATTACTGAATAATCTTTCAAAAGCATCTTTGAATATTGAGCACATGTGATACCTTCCTAATTCATTAATTTGGGGAAAAGCTCTGGATGAACTTACACCAATTATTGAAAGGCATTCTCTATCCTTACTGCATTTTTAAAACAAAGTTTTCCCCTAAAAGTTATGAATTATACAAAAGCTTTAGGAGATATTTTAGTACTTCTTTACCCAATGTAAATAGTGGCAAATTTCTTTCTATTCTTAGCTCTGAGTTTGTATTTATTTATAAGTCATTGTGGTCATGTATACTCATGTTTATAATATGCTAATTGTTTTTAATGGGATTTTTGTTCTGATTTTAAAACAATACATCCTCACTGGAGAATAGTTGGAAATGTAGTATATAAAGTAAATCATGTTACCATTGTTCCATTTTGATATATATAAACTTTAGGTATTATTTTATAATAAATTTTAAGGTATTATTTTATATATAATAAAATTAACCAATTTAAGTATATAATTCAGTGAATTTTGTCAAATACATAGTCATGTAATTACCACCGCCACAATCTTGATACAGAACACTTCTTCCACCTAAAAATTTCCCTTTTTCCACTTTGTGGTCAATCCCTTGCCCCCACTTCTACCCACTGGCAACCCATTGAACTGCTTTTTGTCACGTTTGTTTTGCCTTTTCTAGAATTTCAGATAATCAGAGTCAGACATAGTCTTTTGTGTCCATGTTCTTTCACTTAACATAATACTATAGAGATACTGATATTGTTACATGTATTAGTAGTTAGTGCCTGTTTTACTGTTCATTAGTATTTGCATTTTATGGTCACACCACAGTTTGTTAATTCATTTACCAATTGATGGACATTTGAGTTATTTTCCCTTTTTTTGCTGTTATGAATAAAGCTGCTATGAACATATGTATACAAGTCTTTGTGTGGTTATATGTTTTCCTTTCTCTTGGGTAAATACCTAGGCTTAAGGTATTATATGGTAAGTGTGTTTGTATAAGAAACTGTTAAACTGTTTTCGGAACTGGCTGAAATTTTACATTCCCAACAGCAATGTGGGGGGTGGGTCAAAGTGTTCCACATCCTTGCCAGTACCTGGTATTTTTAGCTGTTGTTTTAGTTTTAGCCTTTAGTGAATGAGGAATCATATCTCATTGTGGGTTTAATTTTTATTTCTAAAGTGATTAATGATAGGCATCTTTCCCTGTGTTGTTTGCTGTTGTTTTCCTTAGTTATCTTAAGTATTTCTGTGTGGGTTTTGATTTTTCATCTCATATGTCAAATGATGGGGGTTTTAAGGCTTTATCTGACTAGGGAGAAGGAGGATTACTAATTAATTTTAGAGATCCAGAAAGTTATTTACATTCCTTGACATTTATAAAGGCCAGATGTGCTGCTGCTCTTGATTTGGTTGGTACAGTGTAAGAGTTAAGCCAGTGTTAGTAAGTGCCAGGAGAGACTAGCACCAGTTTACGTAGTTATGAAGGCAACAGGTTGTATATTCGTCATGAGGTGAAGAATGGGACATAAGAAAAAATATTTACTGGTATTGGAAAAGTCAGAGATAAGGAAAACAGCTGATATGGAAGCACTGTAGAGCCAATCTACTGTGGATGATAGGGAACTTTTAAATTGTTACTACCTTTTTTTCTGGTTCTTAAATTTGATTCGTATCTTAATGGTCTGGTATAAATTTTTGAGTTGTATTTTTCTATTTCTGAGTCCTTGTATATTATATTACCTTTACACAGTGAACATCATGGCTGGGAATAAAATTAATTTTAACAAAGCTTTAATTTAATGAAAAAGTGATTCCTTGATGACTTTTATCTTTTTGGCCCTTCTAGCTGTATATTTATGTTAAATATTTCAATTCTTAATCTTTCCCATAGCTCCCATTCACCTCACTTTCTCTTAATGGCTGTTTCTCTTGTTAAATGAGAGAGTTTCATTATTTTTACTTGTTCTAGAAGCCAATTTTTTTTTTTCTTGGTTTTTCAAGCAAAGGCACAACAGACCTAATGTTTTTGTGGTGTCTGGAATAAGAATAAAAATGGAAGCCAACATACTAGATCTCTAAATATTTTAAAATTTTAAATTAGTTTAACAAAAATAAAACATCCTTTTAGCCAGGTCTGATGGCTCATGCCTATAATCTCAGCACTTTGGAAGGCCAAGGCAGGTGGATCATTTGAGCCCAGGAGTTCAAGACCAGCCTGGGCAGCATGGTGAAACCCTGTCTTTACAAAAGTTTACAAAAATGAGCCAGGTATGATAGCATGTGCCTGTAGTCCCAACTACTCAGAAGACTGAGGTGGAAGGATTGCTTGACCTTGACCTGGGAGGTCAGGGCTGCGGTGAGCCACTGCATTCCAGCCTGGGCAACAGAGCAAGACCCTGTCTCAAAAAGCTCCTTTTGACAGATACACAATAACTACAAAATTTAAAATGGCATAAAACAATATTGAAGATGACTTTTAGCCATAGTATGGTTTTCCAAATTTTTTTGCATCAATTGATGTAATAACCATATGATTATTTTCTTTAGCTTGTTAATATTGTGAATTGCTGTCTTAGTCATTTTCTGTTGCTGTAACAATATCAAAAACTGGGTAATCTGTAAAGAAAATACATTTTTCAGATTGCTGGCAACATGGCCGAATAGGAACAGCTCCAATCTGCAGCTCCCTGCAAGATCAATGCAGGTGGTGGGTGAGTCCTGCATTTCCAGCTGAGGTGCCTGGTTCATCTCCCTAGGACTAGTTGAACAGTGGATGCAGCCCACAGAGGATGAGCCAAAGCAGGGTAGGGCGTCACCTAAACCAGGAAGCACAAGGGGTACTGATGAAACGTATCTCAAAATAATAGCTATTTATGACAAACCCATAGCCAATATCATACTAAATGGGCAAAAACTAGAAGCACTTTCTTTGAAAACTGGCACAAGACAAGGATACCGTCTCTCACCACTCCTGTTCAACATAGTATTGGAAGTTCTGGCCAGGGCAGTTGGGCAAGAGGAAGAAATAAAGAGTATTAAAATAGGAAAAGAAGTCATATTGTCTCTGCTTGCAGATGACATGATTTATATTTAGAAAACTACATCATCTCAACCCAAAATCTCCTTAAGCTGATAAACAACTTCAGCAAAGTCTCAGGATACAAAATCAATGTACAAACATCACAGGCATTCCTATGCACCAGTAACAGACAAACAGAGCCAAATCACAAGTGAACTCCCATTCACAATTGCTACAAAGAGAATAAAATACCTAGGAATACAACTTACAAGAGATGTGAAGGACCTCTTCTAGCAGAACTACAAACCACTGCTCAAGGAAATAAGAGAGGACACATACAAATAGAAAAACATTCCATGCTCATGGATAGGAAGAATCAGTATAGTGAAAATGGCCATACTGCCCAAATTAATTTATAGACTCAATGCTATCCCCATCAAGCTACCAATGACTTTCTTCACAGAATGGGAAAAAACTTTAAATTTCATATGGAACAAAAGAAGAGCCTGCATAACCAAGACAATCCTAAGCAAAAAGAATAAAGCTGGAGGCCTCAGCTTTGAAGTCAGACTTCAAACTATTACTACAAACTGTACTACAAGGCTACAGTAACCAAAACATGGTACTGGTACCAAAATAGATACATAGACCATTGGAACAGAACAAAGTCCTCAGAAATAACACCACACATCTACAATCATCTGATTGTAGATAAATCTGACAAAAACAAATGGGGAAAGGATTCCCTGTTTAATGATGTTGGGAAAACTGGCTAGCCATGTGCAGAAAGCTGAAACTGGATCCCTTCCTTACACCTTATACAAAAACTAACTCCAGATGGATTAAAGACTTAAACTAAGACCTAAAACCATAAAAACCCTAGAAAGAAAACCTAGGCAATACCATCCAGGACATAGGCATGGGCAAGAGTTCATGAATAAAACATCAAAATCAATGGCAACAAAAGTCAAAACTGACAAATGGGATCTAATTGAACTAAAGAGCTGCTACACAGCAAAAGACACTATCATCAGAGTAAACAGGCAACCTACAGAATGGGAGAAAATTTTTGCAAGCTATCCACCTGACAAACTGCTAATATCCAGAATCTACAAATAACTTGTTTATGAAAACGAACAACCCCATCAAAAAGTGGGTGAAGGATACGAGCAGACACTTCTGAAAAGAAGACATTTATGCAGCCAATAGACATATGAAAAAGTGCTCATCATGACTGGTCATTAGAGAAATGCAAATCAAAACCACAATGAGATACCATCTCACATCAGTTAGAATGGCGTTCATTAAAAAGGAAATAACAGATGGAGAGGATGTGGAGAAATAGGAATGCTTTTACACTGTTGGGAGTGTAAATTAGTTTAACCACTGTGGAAAACAGTGTGGCAATTCCTAAGGATCTAGAAATAGAAATACCATCTGACCCAGCAATCCCATTACTGGGTATATACCCAAAGGATTATAGATCACTCTACTATAAAGACACATTCACACATGTTTATTGTGGCACTGTTCACAATAGCAAAGTCTCGGAACCATCCCAAATGCCCATCAGTGATAGACTGGATAAAGAAAATGTGGCATATATATATACACCATGGAATACTGTGCAGGATGAGTTGTCCTTTGCAGGAACATGGATGAAATTGGAAACCATCATTCTCAGCAAACTAGCACAAGAACAGAAAACAAAACACCACATTTTCTCATTCATAGATGGGTGTTGAACAATGAGAACACATGGACACAGGGAAGGGAACATCATACACTGGGGCCTGTTGGAGGGTGGGGAGAGGGGGAGGGATAGCATTAGGAGAAACAGCTAATGTGGATGAGGGGTTGATGGGGACAGCAAACCACCCTGGCATGTGTACCTGTGTAACAAACAGATACGTTCTGCACATGTACCCCAGAACTTAAAGTATAATAAAAAATAACTTTTAAAAAATACACTGATTTGGCCAAAAATCCAGAAAACCATATACTTAACTGAAAATAACCTAGAGTAAAATAAATGACACCAGCACAAAAGGACAAGTATCTACAAAATCTTTATAAATTCACATATTTTTCTGAAAGTATACAAGCAGTCTCAATTTACTGGGACAAAAATTAACATTGTTGTTCTTTAGTAATGAAGTCAATGTACAATTCAGAGCAGGTAGGTGTTCATAGAAACAACTAGGTTTGATAAAAATACTGTGTTATGTTACAACAATTCACGGTTGAAATAAAAAACTGAATGTGTTAAATACTTGCCATATAACAACACTTTAATACACAGCATTGATCTTCTTGCTAAATAAGACTATGATTCATAAGATGCATGTATTTCAAAAGCTGTATAACATTTTACTTATAAATTAATTCACAGAATTCATATAGTTGCTTTTTAGCTTCAACTGGGTATTAGCAAAAATAATACAAAATAATTCCCGTGCAAGCACAAATTTACCTTCCTTCCTAAATAAAACATGACATTAAATTACAACCTGTTAGCCTCTCCTTTAAAAAGTCTGTGACATTATTAAAGAAGAGACAGAATTCTTGTTTTGCAAACCCCAAGACACCTCTCACTGTGGTCCATTGCTATCACATTAACACAATTGCTCAGACCTCAAGGCACTCAGACCTGAAATGTCTTTTACACTAAGAATGTACGCACAGGTCAAAGAGAGTAATCCAAGGGTTAAAAGTCCCCAATGCCCCACACTGGCTCATTGCCGAGCTGGCAGGGTGCAGGGTGTCTGAGCCAAGCACACTTACCCTCAACTGGGTTTCTGTAACTTTACAATTTTAACTAGTTAGCAGACAGTAGTTGGGACATGTCACATATAGATATGAGTCTCCAATAATGTACACTTTGCTAGGTTTTATCTCTTTGTTAAAGAAAATAGAACAGAGGGACTATAGCTGCCAGTAGAAATCATTTCCCCCTTCTTAATCTCCCAACCTTCATCACCTCCATGAAACCAACTACTAAAATAATCTTTCTCTCTCTGTGCACTAGTGGAAAAAGTAAAGTTCTACAGAAACTCACAGTTAAGAGAGACTCTGAATACAGCAAGTTAAGGCTTTTAGTGCAAATAGAATGGATTCCCACTAAGGTCAAAATGTTTCAATTGGGTACCAAGCTGACTTCTTGATATCCTTTAAGGTCTAGTTTTCCCTTTCTTGAGATTACTATATTGTGTTCCAGCTAATTTCTACTTGGAAACAAGCTAGAACAGCTGAAAACCAGGTATTATTGAAGGCAAAGCAGCCTCACGCTGGTTTTTTAATCAGCTCATTTGGGAAGTTTTTTAATTAGAAAGTAGGCTGGGCATGGTGATTCACACCTTAATTCAGCACTTTGGGAGGCCAAGGCAGGCGAATCACTTGAGGTCAGGCGTTCAAGACCGGCCTGGCCAACATGGTGAAATCCCATCTCTACTAAAAATATAAAAATTAGCTGGGTATGTTGGCATATTTATAATCCTAGCTACTTGGGAGGCCGAGGCAGGAGAATCACTTGATCCCAGTGAACCGAGATCACACCACCACACTCCAGCCTGGGTGACATGGGGCAGGGGGGTTGGCGAATAGGACCCCTGTCCTATATTCATGGTTTTCTCACATATGTGAAACCATCTAAATTCTATGTTGTTAAAGGTAGTTTAGGTTAATTAGTCTATTCTTATGTATAAGCCAATGTGGGATGAGATGGATTTAAAAAAAAAAAAAAATCCTTAAAGTAAGGCTTTCTACTTTCCTTCTAATGAGGAAAAAAGGTGACAAAAATTCAAGTGTCAATGTCCCTTTCCTGGGAATAGGTTTAGAAAAACATAACAGCTCGCCTTCTGAACTCTACCAGTTCCTTTTGAAGTCAACAAAGCATTGGAATCAGATTTTTAAAAAAAGAGGAAAATATTTACAAAACCGGACATTCCTTACAGATACAAAATCTTGCTAATGCTGGGAAAACCATACAAGGGTGTTTAAAGAGAAACAGTAACCTTAGTAAAGCAAGGATAGAGAAAACCAGGATATGGTATGTGTTTTTTAATGCCAGAACATGGTGAAACTAAGACGAGCAGAGATGACCTGATCCCTGAAGTGGACTGCTCAACTATTCTGCTCAGCCTCTAAGGAGGTCTGCAGGGGTGTGGTTAGGTAAAAACTGAGCTGTGCAAACTAACTGTATCCACAATTCTTCTCATGAGAGAGCAGAACAACCTGGCAAGCTTAAAGGCAAGTGTTTTCATTCTTTTAATTAAATAGGCTGTGATAAAATTAACAATAAAACTAGCCCAGAACCAACCAGCCCACTATGTGTCGTGCAAATCTTGCAGTAACGAAAGACCATCTGAGAGACTACACGTTGGTCTCCAGTCCTAGCAAGCGTCCCATTCTCTCCACATTCTTGTCAATTATAGCTTGACATGTTATCTCCTTGGCACATTCCATAGGAAACCAACCTCTTTCTCCATCTCGCAGTCGTTCCCCCTCATACCAGCCTGTGAAAAAGAACAGAGTCCACATCAAACAAGTATTTGGAGTGTGCCAGCTCCAAGCAGGATATGAAAAAGCTGAGCGGCAGCATCGCTCTCCAGGCTAGGTGCCATGGATGATGAAAGGTAAGGAGAATGAAACAGGGAAAGGTTTCAAGAGGAATGAATGACATTCGAGGGAAAGAGCCTAAGCAGAGGCCCTGAAGTGAGAAGGCTGAGTATCTGAACCTGGCAAAGGAGATGCTTTGGGTAAGGACAGCAGGAAAAACAATTTTTTTGAAAGGACGAATCTTTGGAGATGAGAACTAGGTCACTGGGGGACTGGAGAACAAAGAAAACTTCATGGTTTCCTTTTGAATAACAAATCAGATGACTGCATCTACATTCAAAACCAAATTAGATGAATCATAAAGTGTAGATAGATGAGAGGCAGGTGCACATGAGAAAGCTGAAGGGAAAGCCCAAAAAGAGAAGAGGCAAATGTTTCAAAGTCCCCAAAACACCTCTCCAAGTCATCTTTAGGCATCTGGTAAACGATCAATTTGGGGAATAAAGTCTTGGGGAAGAGGAGGAGTAAGAACAGAGAAGCAACAAAATTAGCCTTAGAGATGAGAAGGCAGTACATGTATGTAATATCAAACATTCACATATCAAGATTTGGGATACAGGCAATGATGACAAAATGAGACTCCTCGGGTCTATAGCACTCTGAATCCCGGAACACGAGTGTCCCATAAGAACGCTCCCACTCACCATCACTGACACGTTGATAGATGAGGACAACATCTGCCACCTGCAGGGAGAGTTCATCTGGCTGCTTGGCAGTAAATGACCTAACGATTTCCACCTGGGTCAGTGCTGCGGCAAAGAAGACATACTAAGTTTCCAGTAGCAGAGAAAAAACACGTGCAATCCAACAGTGTACATTTACTCGTTTTTCTCTGCAACTCAGGGCCAGCACTGAGAGAAACAAGTTGGGCTTCTAACAAGCCGAACATCTTTTCTAGCAATTCCTTTACTTGGCTATATGCTTTAGAATTTTAGAACCTCGGATTTGAGAGGCCTTTTATGATGCATGAATCCCCTCAATAACAGATTGATTAGGAGTCATTAGTCATGTCACACAATGGAGCAGAAAATAGCCATTTTGCCTTAGGAAAACTGAGGCATGAGAGAGGTGTTGATGTGCTGAGTCCATGCAAAATCTGCAATAGACATAGTTCTCCTGGATCTCATCAGAGTGTTTTCCCATCCCAGCAGCAGCACATGAAAGCTTCCAAAAAAGTTTAGAAATAAGAGGAGTTCTGGCTGTGCACGGTGGCTCATGCCTGTAATCCCAGCACTTTGGGAGGCTGAGGCGAGTGGATCACAAGGTCAAGAGATTGAGACTATCCTGATCAACATGGTGAAACCATGTCTCTACTAAAAACAAAATATGGGATTTCCAACCTTCTGGAATCCCCTCCCACACAGTGGGAGCTCAAAAAAAAAATAAATAAAAATAAAACAAAATACAAAAATTAGCTGGGTGTGGCGGTACACACCTGTAGTCCCAGCTACTCAGGAGGCTGAGGCAAGATTATCAGTTGAACCTGGGATGTGGAGGTTGCAGTGAGCTGAGATTGCACCACCGTACTCCAGCCTGGAGACAGAGTGAGACTCCATCTCAAAAAAACACCACCAACAAAAAAAAAGGAGTTCCAACCAAAAGCCATGTTAGACCTCCTCAGAAATGCTGACATGTGACTTCTTACTTAATTTGCTTTTTAATATAAAGCTTGATTTTAGGAAACTTTCGTACCATTTTGGCTTTTAATCTAAGCTTAAAGCTGTAATTTTTGAGGATTCCAGGATAATGTTTTGTCCTAATTCTTTGGATTTGATCTTCCAACAGTAATAACCTAAGGAATTACAGCATCAAAGTTAGGAAGCTAATAAGTACACACCACCACCCTTTACTGCACCAGTTTTTAATTCGCTAGAATAAGAAACACACTTTCTTAGAAGGTCAAAAAGAATTGTTAATTTTCTTTTAGATTAAAAATACTTTTCAGACTCTCAGTATGGAGAAGGCTTAAACATTATTAACTATATTGCTCATTGATAACAGCTAAAAATTTAAAAGCTTTACAGTTCATGTAGGGCTTTTAACATTTATTATTTAACTTATCTTCACAATAACCCCATGTGTATAATGGTGTAACTGACTTGCAGATGGTTAAATAGCTCTGTAATGCTAAGCAATGATTTGCCATGTTTCCACAACAAAGAAGTGCACCTTGGATTTGAATTCAGACCCGTTGACTTCCAAAGCAAGGATCATACCCTTCTGGTGTAAAGCAGAAGGAAGGAAACCTTGGAGGAAACTTAGGCAAGGACTGTGGTGGTGTAAACTCATTAGTAACCCGGCATCCAGCAGGGGGCAGAGCCCATCCATGTTCCCAAATGGGCTTCCCCTTGACAGTACTTACAGGTTCGGTCTGCAGGCGGCTTTCCGCTGCTGTGTCCCAGGGCAGTTATCCAGCGGGCTCTCTCACTCCTAAAACAGAAGGCAGATCCAACTGAGAGATTCAAGGTGTATAAACACAGAATGGAGTGTGTTCTAGACAGCCAATGCAAAGCCATTTCCAGAAAAAAGATTCTCCAGAGAGGTATGGTAAAACAGGGTGAGAGTTGTTTAAAAGTGATAATCTGGAAATCTAAAATAAGCAAGAGACTAGCTATCATTGTCAAAAGATTCTGAATGAACTGGCTTGTTATTGATTAAAAGGAACTTCTCATATGACAGTTTAAAAGTTAATAAGGAGCTGATTACACAAACACACTATATCCCCAAACGATATTTTGCATTCTCATAATTTGATGTTTAACATTTCATAAGCGGTAAGTTTCATTTTTTAAAAATCCTACTAATTTCTCAACTTCCTCCCTTCTTCCCTTCCCACTCACTCAAACCTTTCAGAAAAGATGAGAAACTTGACATATTTAGTTGTGTCAACCCTCATACAACTAACTTTGCCAAATATGAGCCTTACTGAAATAGAAATTCTTTGGTCACTTTTATACTGTTCCCAAATGCCTAAAATGGTTTAATGAGTACAGGAAAAATGACAAATACTTTTAATATAATATTAAGTTACAATTACATAAAAATTAATTATTTAAAGGATCAAAAGTTTCAGATAAGCAAGGACTGCTCTACCTAATGCAGTTACCCTAGTTTTTTATTTTGAGAATCAAGTATTAAAATTGCAACTAATACTGCCCCCACCATATACAGACTTTTAAGTCTCTGTTTTTTATCAAACACATGCTACATTCAGACACCACACTCCACATCCACTATTTCTTTTTTTTTTCTTTATAGATTACTCAGTATTGGATACGTGACATCTACTATTTCACATAAACCTCCCAAAAGCCCATTTGAAGGATGCAAAGACCAGACAGAAGTTCAGAGGCAAGTGATTCAAACCAAAGTCAATTTCTACTGTGCCACTCTATATTCTTAAGAAAAAATGCCTTCATGACAAACATTTGGGGGGAAAAGTCTAATCTCTCATAGTAGCCTGAATGATGCTTGTCGCTATCACCCCATCTTCATCCCCATATGCGTCCTTCTAATCCAGGCAGAGAGGACTTACTGCACTGGAACACGGCACCCTGGCTCCAGCCTTTCCTATTCCTTCCCTCTGTTTTTACCTAGATATGCCCACTCATTATTGCCATTTAAATTTCTTATTGAGGAATAACATACATAGCATAAACTGAAGAGTGCACAGTGTTTACTTGTCAAGACATGGATGCACCGGGCAGTTCCATTCTGTCCCCTTCCAATCAATAACCTCTGTCCAAAGGTAACTGCTATTCTGTTTTCCATTACCATGGAATTTCTATTACCATGCCTCTTTTGTACTTTTTGCAGATGAAATCCTTTAGTGTGTACGCTTTTGTATTTGGTTTCTTTTGCTCAACATATACCCACTCAAGGTTGAAAGCACAAGGCTCACTTCCTCCAAGGGGCCTCCTCTGATACATAAGCCAATCCTTCCATCCCCAACCCAGTCTGATAATCCTGTCATCCCCTCTGCACAATTCTGTTACACTGCTGATCAACAGTAAGCCTCAGAAAAGCAGGCAGCTTATCCATTTGGTTCACTGTATTATCTCTAGAACACTGCCTGACACATAACAGGGGTTCAGTACATATCTGCCAATGAATGGATCCTATAACTCATCGTATATTGAGTCCAGTCATTTACTGACTCATCTGCTTCTCTTACTAGGCTACAAACTCCAGAAGGGCAGGAATTAGGCCTTGTTCTAAATAATATTCTGAAGCTTGTATGCGTCAGCTATGGTACTAAACAATTCCAAGTATCATCTAATTTTTACAACTATCTTGCAAAGAAAATATTACCAAAATTATTTCTATTTTTCAGAGGACAACGGAAGTCTGGTATGATAAGCACCTAACCCAGGCAGTCTGAAATCAAAGAGGTGGGGTTACCTAGCCGATGTTTACAAAATAATGATAGAAGGCAAGAAGGGTGGAAACTGTGGTATCTTGAAAGACAGACCTTTTCTTTTTTATTGAGACAGAGTCTTGCCCTGTCGCCAAGGCTGGAGTGCAACGGTACGATCTTGTCTCACTGCAACCTTCACTTCCTGGGTTTAAATTATTCTCCTGCCTCAACCTCCCGAGTAGCTGGCATTACAGGCACCCGCCACCACGCCCAGCTAATTTTTATATTTTTTTAGTAGAGATGTGGTTTCACCATACTGGCCAGGTTGGTCTCAAACTCCTTACCTCATAATCTGCCCACCTCGGCCTCCCAAAGTGCTAGGATTACAGGCGTGAGCCACCACACCCAGACAGACTTTTCAAAGATTAAGATGAGGCTGGGCCTTGGTCAAGTTGTTGTGTCAAGTAGTAATATAAACAATTTACATAGAAGCCAATGAGCCTGTCTTGTTTTTAAAACCTCTCTCTTGGCGGGTGGATCACAAGGTCAGGAGTTCAAGACCGGCCTGGCCAATATGGTGAAACTTCGTCTCTACTAAAAATACAAACAAAATTAGCCAGGCATGGTGGCGGGCACCTGTAGTCCCAGCTACTCAGGAGGCTGAGGCAGAAGAATTGCTTGAACCCAGAAGGTGGAGGTTGCAGTGAGCCAAGATTGCGCCACTGTACTCCAGCCTGAGTGAGAATAAGACTGTCTCAAAACACACACACACACACACACACACACACACACACACACACACACACCTCTCTCTCTAATACAGGACAAAGGGCTGTACAACAGTTCTGTAAGAAATAAGCAAAGCACAACTTCATGTAAAATAATTCCCAGGTAAACACTTATATCTTGCTATCATCTCTTTATTCGGAATAAGATCTATTTTTCACTCAAGCTCAAATGGAATTTCCAAAGTACAAACCCAATCAAAAACTAAATAGTTCATAAATAGAAGAGGTGCTTACCAAGAGAAATCTGAAATGACACATTTGTGTGTCTCAATGCCATACCCAAACAAGTTATACACAGCCTGTCTTCCTGGAGCAATTTAGAGCAACTTGGAGCTATTGAGGCAGATCTTCCTGTACAGAGACACCATCGCTAGCAGTGAGGGGCCAGTCTCAGCAGTGGCTTCACCCTGCCGCCAGTTTCCAGAAGTCCAGATGAAATCTTTCACTTCTGTGGCATGCTGCCTGGATGCTAATGGCATCCCTTAGACACGGCTGCCCCTCACAGGGACTCCAGAGGATAGAACAAGACACTTCTTGTTGCCATCACTTAAAGGCACCACTTCTTGAAACTGCTTCAGTTGAGTCAGTCCCCACCCCACTCTTCGATGCTGTCAAATCCTTGGGACTTCCCTTGGGGCTTCCAAGAGCCCACCACAGAGCTTCCCCAGCTATGAAGCAGAAACCACTACATTTCTAAAGCAGGAACGAAGTTGTTGTAAGATGGATTCAAAAGGACAGGAAAAATCAGGGCATAGACTTACCCATTATTAAATTTAGGTATCAAGTCTAGGGCTGACTCACAGACATCTTTTTTTTCAGGGACATATCGATAGGAAACAAGATGAATTCAAAATCTACCACACACCCAGTTCGTAGACTTTTCCTTTTGCCCAAAATGACAGAATAAACAATGTTGCACTAAAGTCCACCTGCAGCATATCAACTTTCTCTTTAATCTTTTTTTTTTTTTTTTTTTTTTTGAGACGGAGTCTTGCTCTGTCCCTCAGGCTAGAGTGCAGCAGCGGGATCTCGGCTCACTGCAACCTTCACTTCTCGGGTTCAAGCAATTCTCCTGCCTCAGCCTCCAAGTAGCTGGGATTACCACCGTGCGTGGCTAATTTTTGTATTTTTAGTAAAGACAGAGTTTCACTATCTTGGCCAGGCTGGTCTCAAACTCCTGACCTCATGATCTACCTGCCTCGGCCTTCCAAAGTATTGGCATTACAGGCATGAGCCACCACACCTGGCCAGCATATCAACTTTCGAGTCTAACCTGACCTCTCCTTCCTTCACCCACATTAACTCTGCACAGGCCCTGGGTTGGGTGGGGGGTGCAGAGTGAATACACTGGAGTCCCTTGCTCTTCACAGCCCTCAATACAAAGGAACACACAGAAAACACTCACAAAACCCAATACAGCAAGCAGTGTGCTGAAATGGAACACTCTACCAAAACATTTCACCTAGGTAGAGAAAGAAGACTATATTGAGAAGAGACTCTTTTAACTTATTTATCCATAAATGCAGTCTTTTCATAACCCTCAAGTTCTCTTGGCATGGCATGAAATGATGTTTCTATGGTTTCCTATCAGCTGTGGTAGCACCTTGGCCTGTCTCTCATATAATTAATTATGCATAGTAGGTTTAAACTTAATTGCACAAAAGTCAAAGATACAGCAAAGTCTCACTTCTTATGGAATACCAGGCATCAACTAGAAAAGATAGATGCTGACTGAAAAAGCAGGAAGTAGGCTTTGAAGTAACAGAGGCAGGGCTGTAGGTGAGACTATACAGAACAGAACACTGGCTGAGGACTCCATCACTAATAGGGTTTTCCTGATTTCACAACATAAAAAAAGAGCCCTTAGTTGCTCTTTAACCTTCCATTTATCCCTCCCAAATGGCATTTGACCAGTTACTGTTTGTGTTTCTTCTCACAGCCTACACATTTACCTGTGGTTCCTTTTGAATTTTCTATACCTACGGGCTTCGAAAAAAAGTCCTTCAAACCTTTGTAAAGAGTAGGATTGTGAAAATGGTTGTTTTTGTTCATTCTCTCACACATTCAATTCAACTAGATTAGTTCAGAAAACTGATCCATAAAAGAAAACCCATAGCATGAAAAAAAGTTATTAAAAATGCTGAGACAAGACCTTAAAAAACTAGATACCAACTCAACTTGCTAAATTTTAAAAAATCTACCTGAAGCAAAGTAATATCCCTAGCCCACTAAGATTTCTAAAATTTAGATTTTTGTCACATGCTATATAGTTAAATCAATTATTT